GAATCGTATTCATAATTTGCCCGACGAATTATCGAATGGCCCGCGTTGATTAACGCCCGACTTATCAGACACGCCTGAATTATAGTCGAAATGCAAACACTTTTATAATATCGCATATTGCAAACAAATCACGGTTTAAAATCCACTCAAAAATAATAATTCACGAGACACTTTTACGAAACAATCGTAAAGATTTAAACTGCATCAGCTTCGATATTCGATAAATATAGTTTATTTTAATATTTAAAGTATATCAAATCACTGGTAATATTTGTATAGTTAACTGATTCGACAATTGGTAGGGTTGAAAACGTTTTGATAAACAGAACAAGGAAGGATAAAATGGTTTCCTATTCGCAAGGGTGTTTTCACAATATTCCAACTTTGAACGTTTTCCATGTCGCTGGAATTTCACGGGCGATACAAAACTGAGCGGATACTGTGAGCATCGCTAGGAATGTAAATTTACTTCCCTTTACGAGAAATGGTACTTCGCTCCCTTGGTTCATATTTCACGATAGAAGTCCATTACGATTCGCAGAGGAAGGCTCGAAGAAAAAATCCCCGCGAATTTTTCACCCGGCCAGCCTGAACTCCAGAATTTCTCGGGCTGGCTGACGTTTAAGAAATCTGATTTTCTCCTCACGTATATCGGAGGATTACCCGAGTATTCGCCTTCGACCAGGACAACCACTTCATTCCAGATATCCACAAACAACAGACGATTCATCCCTTCGATCCTCTTGTTTTTCCCTGCTTTAACTTCGTCCCTTTTGCTCGCCACGAGGGCAGAATACGAAGCTATCTTTTCTAATTTATCGACGTAAATAAATCGGACTAGATACATTTTGAACAAGAATTTTTAAAATAGTTTCAAAGTCAGCGGTGAAAGTATCGTGGACAAATTTTATTCACGAATGACGAATATAAATGTTAGATTCATTCGTACATAAATTAGAATTAAGAAGCCACGAAAGAAAATTTAATTTCATGCTATTAATAAATATATTTAAGAGGGCCGTTTCTTTATATTGAATAGTATATTTATATATAGTTTTTCTCCTTTTATTCGAAATATAAAATGATAGATTGTCTTGTTCGAAGACTCGTGTGTTCGAATTAATTTGGACAATAGAGAGTCCACTACATTTGTCGATTCACGTGCTTATGGTTTCTGAAGCGTAAACGAGTATGAAGAAACTTATTACAATATTGTACAACGTAACGAGCCGCAGAAATTCTAATGAGAACAAAATGAGGAAATGGCTGGAAAATGATGAGACTAATCGCGCAAGGGACGATGAGATTATCGAAAAAATTACTAAAAGGTATAACGCAAATGGAGAGGAACGATGAGCATGAAAAAAATGAAGATAATTATAATCATATAAATTCCCAAGTACGTATTTGCCTCGTTTGAAATGGCTTCAATGAGACGATTCTATATAGAAAATTCTCTATATAAAAAATTGGTCAATTTTAATTCGAACTCCATTCACTTTGAATGCAAAAAATACTTACAATTAGTATTTCTTTACACTTAGTAAAGATCAGTTCCGTTTCAAAAGGAATGTAGTACCACGAGAAAGTGAAATGTGGACAGTGTCGAGTAATTTTTCTTTGGTCACAAGGCTTGCAAAGGCTGACTAAAATGTATGAACCAGTACGACTTGCAACATCTTTCAGGACTGATATTTTCTGTAGTCTAGAGTAGATACTTGTTAAATTTAAAAGTGAGTAATTCATCGCGTAAAAATAAGCCGAAAATATAGAATAAAATTTGTTCGTATAATCTTCTGTTATCAGGGAAAATAACTTCGAAAATTCGTAAGGTGCGGTGCACGTGACTAATTGTAAGTCTCTGTATAGCTCTGTATACTGCAACGTGATAGTATTTTTAACAATTGTTCATAGAATGTAACTGACTTATCTTGATTTACAGAATCATTCTCATCAAACACAGTCTGTATTGAAATCTATGTATACTAACTAACTTTGACATTTTGTCGGATATCGGACTTGAACAATTCTAAAACTCGACATAATGGATCCTAATATAGATTGTGTTTTATTAGGATGGTTTCATAAATAAATATAATATACAATTACCTTCTAAGATTAATTCTGTCACGTTGCAAAGTACAGAATTGCGCTAGAGATTTATAATTCTCTCTGTATCTTTCTTACAGAAGATACCAAAAAAATTTATTTAAACTTTATATATAAAATTTCATTTTCTTAGTATTTATTTAAAATATTTACAAATGACAAATATGTATTATATATATAACGAATATTGTCTTCATTTTATACTAAGAACGTGGTCGGAGAATTTTTTATGTTTTTCCTGAAAGGTCTCGACTGCAATATCTTCCTGGTAGGTAGGGAAGCATGAATAAAAAATTTCATCATTCTTGATTGAATCTCGTCGGTCTTATTTTAACCTGTAGAATCACCCCCGTAACATATTTACCACCGGTAAATAAACACCATGCATATAGATTCAATCCATCGAGATCGACGTGCAAGATCATCGGTGAACGATTTTCAGAGTAAAAAGTTATTACTGTAAGTAAATTCTTCTGGGAAATGAAGTTGCATCGGTCAGAGGAGACTGTCGGTCCACCTTCATCCCCTTGCCCTTCCCTTATTCCACTCTCTCATTCTCCCTCTCCTGTAAAATCAATAGGTGCGTCGGCGTCCAGCACGATGGAATTCTGCCATGTAACGTCGAACGATTAACTAAAATCGATCAAGCGCGACACGTACCCAATATGATAAAATAAACTGTGCGATCGTAGCGAATTAGAAATTATCTCCTCGCGAATCGCTAAACAAAACGCAGGATACAGATTCTATTTATATTGTATTTCGTTTGCCTTCGCCGCGACGACAAAAATCTCTAGAAAGTTATTGGAAATTAAAGGAAACTTTTTTTATATAAATTTTTATACGCGTCGGGTGACTGTTTATCAAATTATTCCAATTTCCGGTTGACTAAACCACATTTGCTTCGCCGCGTGCCGGAAGCTCGTCAACCGTAAAGCTTGAACGGTACACGGTGACGAGCGGAATGCTCCTTTGTCTCTTTTGCGAATTAATTTCAAGGACGAGGACCTTTGTGCCCTGCGGGGGTTCTTACTTACGCGTCGAGCAAACCTAATTTGCGTTTAAACAAGGAGCATCTTCGCATAACTTACCGTTGCGTGAAATCCGGTGTCAAAGGGAGGGTACTTCTTCTTTTTAAGCTCCTCCAACCTCGTAGGATTTAGACAGCGAGCTTCAAAGTCGCGCTCGATCGAAGGAAAGGACACGAAGGGTTTCGAGTTATTGGAACGATTAATACTTCAACGCTTTGTCTTGTGAATTTTTCTTCGAAGGATTCTTAGTGTATTTTTTATACAGGTGGGTTCGAACGTTGTTTAAAAAAGAAAGAAAATGACTATAATTATAATACCTTTCATCATTTTGATGTTATCTTTTTATAAACTATACCAATTCATTGATGGGATTTAATCGATTAAAATGAGCCCAAACATAAATCAGTCCACTCTTAATTGACTTAATACATGTAATATTATTACCATAACTGCTCGTAATTAGAACCTCAGTCTAAGAATTTTACGCGCTCGAAAATGAATTGCTTACGGATACACGGATGCTTATGGCGATGTAATTTCAAATAATATACATTTTTTATCTATTTTATAATCTAAATTTTATACGTCAATTCCGATTGCAATTATATTTCAAGTAATTGGCGATCGCTAAATTTAATTATAATTGCTACTGTTCGTTTAGCGCTACGGTCTTATTCTCTTCTGGATTGGTAATGTCGCATGTGACATGAAAATGGTAAGAGGATCTCTCAAACTATGTGCCACGAGAATACATTGAACAATAAGTCTATTCTGTACCTAGTCTGTAGGATAAAATAAACCTAAATTTAAAAATAAATAAATTTATCATGCAACTCGAAATACCAACGTAAAAAAGCAGTATAGAACGGTGACTTCAAGAACTATAGCCAGCTGAATCACCGAGTCGATAAAACTACCAAACGTAGAAACATAGACAAGGTATACGAGCACAGACGAGGTATAGAAATAATAACACTTTACCGACCGGTAGCGGTTGATTAATCGGCTATCGGTCGGTAAGCGTTGGTCGGCAAAAAAGTTGATTAATACGCTATCGGTCGGTAAGTGTTGGCCGGTAAAAAAGTCGATTAATAGGCTATCGGTCGGTAATGTGATAAAAAAGAATTTATTTTTTTTCAATAATTCAAGTATGATCAGGGGGTCTTAAAACGTGTATTTCCGTAAGAAAAATTTCACAAAATTTATTTCCATTATTCGTCTACATACATAGGTCGGAAAGTAAAAAATACCTGGGCAGTCGAGACTTAGAATCGTATGCCATTGACGTGAGGTCGAATTTCAGATGTCCAAGAGCGAGAAGGCAAATGTGAGCCTTCGAGAAAGAGGGCATGTGTCAGTTTGCCTTTGTCGACTCTCCGAAACTTCACGAGCTCACGTACGCGTGATCTGGCATAGTGTGAGTAGTGCATCCGGTGCTCAATCTTGCATCACTGGACCCAAGAGAAACGGGCCAAAAAAATACATTAGGTGAAAGGTCTACTCGTATACCTCGTCTGTGGTAGAAACGCTCACCCCTTACAGTTGTTTATAAACATTGCATAAAGAAATTAATTGTTTAGAAAGATATGAATGGTTTTAGTGACGTCATTTCAGGTAACGCATATAATTGCATAGCTTACTTGAGCAATTACACAATATAATTTATTACTAATTACTATTACTTTAATTACAAGTTCGTTATTAAAGCTGTAAAGCTTCTAATGTGTAGATTAAAAAGAAGTTTTGAACTTTGGGAGGATCGGTTTCTATGATTTGAATCATAATCGATTCCCATGATTCGATTTAGTGTCGATTCAAGAATCGATTCTTCAAAGCGAGAAGACAAATGGCGGCCAATGTCAGGCGACGTTGAATCATTTTAAATGTGGTGTTCGATTTCAAGAACTTCGTTCTATCAATTTACGATTCGTATAATCCCCGTCGGTTAGCGACCAACGATCGTTTATATTTGATGTTCGTCCGGCAAACGTGCCGCCAGTTTCGTGCGAGTTTCATATAAAAATCGATAAACTCGGGTGAAACGGACTCGAACGTCGAACGTTGCGCGCAGGTTTGCCTGTCGTGTGTTATTTCTTTCATCGAGGATCTTCGGCGTCAAGATGTCTACGTCCGTGACAGCCAAACTTCAGGATGACATGAATAGTATACCGTTGGCTGACGATGATCCTCAAGGTGAGGAAATTCGTACACCCGTTTTTGACCCAGTTCATTTAATTTTGTTATCGCAACTTGCTCGAGTATAACCTACCCGTACTCGATTCTTCCGTCTATAATCTTAAATTTCAGTCGAATGTTGCTATTAAAATATCGATAAGAATTTAAATTCATCACTGAAACTGTTACTTTATTATTAATCTAACTTGCAATTGTTTATTAAAATGATTGTGTTGCATGTTCTGTTGACCAACAGATAGTACTGTGTTTCTTGTAAATCTTTTTATAATTAACGAGCAATTTCGATAAAATAAGAAGAATATTTTGAATCTTCTGTTCTTTTGAATCATATAATTCATTGGTGTAGAATAAATTATTATGATTCCTTGGTTATTCTAATCTGTAAATATTTTTAATGCCTAGTGATTATTCCCGAAGAAGAAATTTTGGACAACAGCTGTCACATATCTGATGCATTGGGTAGAGGACGCAGCATGGACTCCATTCCATCTACTTTCACGAATGGAAGCTGCAGCCCTAGCAGTCAGTTTCAAAACCATATGTCGTATCGGCATGCAAATATTTTTAAATACTCAAAGCAATCTTATTACAGGTTTAGATCCAGATATTAGCCCCGACGAGCAGGAAGAGAAAGCAAGATTGATTGCCCAAGTACTTGAACTTCAAAATACTTTGGATGGTAAGTATATTTTTAAATTATTTTTCATGCAAGAACTATAATGTCAGAACATTCTTGTTACTATCTTTAAATGTCTTTCTCTGTGTTTCAGATTTGTCTCAAAGAGTGGATAGTGTAAAAGAGGAAAACCTGAAACTGAGAAGCGAGAATCAAGTGCTGAGCCAATATATAGAAAACTTAATGTCTGCATCCAGTGTTTTTCAGTCCACCAGCCCAAATACCAAAAAAAAGTGAATCCAGGTTTTTAAACTAGAAAAAAATCGAGGAAAAGTCGAAGAAACAGGGATCTTGAAATAATGTGATCGTAAATCCTCCATAAAAAGTATGTATATGCATTAATAATTATAACTGCCTTATTTGACAAAAACAAAAGAAGATATTGTAGATATAAGAATTTTTAAGATGTCATTTAATATACTGCGCTTATTTGGGTAATTTATGCGTTCACCAATCTCTACATACTTTTTGTGGAAAAGACTTTAACGGGGGAAGATTTGCTTACTTTTACTTCGTGTTTGCATCGAATCGCGTCGCTTAAGAAGTATGCGATTCGTATTTCCGCATCGAAAACATATTGTTTTTTTTTAGTCACTGCATACGCTTCTCGCTTGCCAAGCAACGCGCTTATGGTTCTTACATATTGCCAAAGAATTCCATGTTGCATTTTAACTACTTAGTTCTTACTAAAGAATTTCAAATATTTCAGAGAAGGCATTCTTAATCTCAAAAATCAAACGATACACGTAAGACACGTAGCCGTATATTATTTTTAGCATTATTGCCGAGGATACATTTATTTCTAATATTTCGAATTACGGTTCGTCGAAGTTGATTGCTATCAGCGCATTTGATATTTACAAATAAGACGCGAAGGGTAATGAGTGTTTGTAGTTACCGTATTTAATCAAACACCGGCGTTTTTTCATTGAAGCTTTTGCTTAAGAGTTTCGATATACTTGTATGCGATGTATGTAGCTGTACAAAAGAGATAAGAAATAGTTATATATATATACAATTACATATAAAATACCAGGGATGTGCGGGATCCCGATGTTCGGAACGGGTTCGAAAGTATTCAATAATTCCGAAAATATCCGGGGTTCCCGAAAATATTCGGAAGATAGTTCGGGAGGATTCACGAAAATTTAAAATAAAAGATTTTATACTTGTTATTACCATGATGTGTTATCTTCACTTTGCCTTTTACAATTTAAACAATTTATTGGGTGTTCGTAGTAAGGGGTGTTTGGCCACACCTGGGAAAAATTTTAATGGGAGATTCTTAGGTGCCTAAATTTTTCAGCGAAAAAAAAATTTCAATTCGTTCTGAAAAAATTATTTTCGGTTGCGGGGGTCAATTACAATAATTTTTGGTCATTAGACATACCCCCGAAATCCCACCCACTTTCTGGAGAAAAATTCAGTACGGGCGAAATTTTAAATGTTAATAACTTTTTAACGAAGCCTTCATCAACAAATTAGTATTCTTCATTTTCGTCTTATTTTGGCCTTCAGAATCTCCCATTAAAATTTTTCCCAGGGTTGGTCGAACACCCTGAATAAATAAACGAATGAGTAAATTTTATGAGGTCGAAAAATATGTTTAAATCGAAATCTTGTATTAGTGGTATAACAATAAGTCGAGCATTTTAGAGAGTTCCAATTATCTTCGAAATCTTTGGGATCCCATCCTTATCCCGAAAAAAATTCCTATATGAAAGAATTCCGCACACCCCTGATAAGTACAAGGTGGACCACATAACTTGGTTGCCTAAATTGTTTTTGGTGTTAGTGATTCAATTCAAGTTATTGTATATCGTGGATAGTTTTGTTCAAAGATTGTATGTCAGGTGTAAATAATTATGAATACTGTCGAGCAACGATTTTGGAAAGTATACGTTGAAAATTTGAGAGGGGAAAACCATAAAAATTGTACGATAATCAGTCTATAGATCTCTTTAAATGAACCAATTCAAGGAGAAGAAAACTTTAATCGGTCCTCTTACACCGAGAATAATCGAAGTGATCCAATTACGTGCTTTGCCTTGTATATTATATATAATTATGATATACATATATTAAAATATAGATTTATGTTCGTACGGTATGCTGTAAGCAAAGTGTAAATTACAATTAATAAAACTTGATCGACACTTTGCGTGTAGCGTAATCGATCAACGAGTAATACGATATAAAGAAAAGGAAATGTACTGCAATTTGAAACTGCAACTTGCGATAAAGTTTCAGTTGAAGGGCACAAGCAGAATGCACAATCCCAAATTATTCCGTTGTTAATGAACACAGTGTTATAATAAACATTATATTCTATTGGAAGGTAATGAAGTTATTTATTCATCACATACAAAGTATAAATATTCGTATTTAAAACATTCTCATCGATTTCAATTTTCAATTTTCGTTGTCGTTAAAGAACATTTACGCAAATATCGTTTATTAAATTTTTTTTTAATTATTTCATTCTATAATTATAAATTTTCTTCGTATCGCTTCGTTAATAGAAATTTTAATTTCTTCTTTGATGCACGTAATCGTCATAATTTAATCGATTTGCAGTATACAATAAAAAATTACATTCATAGAAATTAGTCTTGTCGTAGTGCTAGAAATTGTATCGCTTTTTGGCCCCAACGTGTCTTTGGTCCTGGTTTTGCTCGTCCATTTTTCTTTATCCCTATCCACCATCCATGATTGGCATATTTTCGCGAACGAAAAGCATCGTAAGAACCGACATTCCACTGTTCCCATTCTGTGTTATCTTTGTTTATATTTGGCTGCAAAAAATTAGTGAGAATCAACAAATTGCTTATTATTTACAATTTAAAATAACCACTTCCTTCGTCTGACATTTTATAGTAATATTTATCTTATATTATTTACACCTATACCCAATGGAATATTACTGAAATATTGCACCCACGTTTGTAATATTACAATAATACATATGCCTGTAGTACAGATTCTAGAGACCAAAGACAAAAATCAAGAATATCAATTTCTTGACTGAGGCTTCGATAAAAAGTTATTAAAAAATTTCAAATCGTTCTAAAAAAATTATTTTTGGCAGCAAGGGTCAATTATAATCATTTTTTGTCAATACACATACCCTCGAAATCCTACGCATTTCCGAGAAAAACAATTCTTTACCGAAAATATTATTTCTGGTCAGGAATGCTTCCCTGAAATTTCATGCGAATCTTTAAAATGTCATAACTTCTGAAAGGATTGAAGGATTTTAATCTTTCAAAAGGCAAACAACGCGTATTTTGGTGAAGAATATGTGGAAATTTCGAAAATATTCTAAAAGTTATTCCATGACCCCGCAAAATGAGAAAAACCCCATAAAAATGGTCCAATTTTCAAACGCCCATACAATAGTGAATATATTTCAATGAAATTTTTTTCTGAACTAGAGCTCATGGGTACCTACAAAAAAGTATTAAACAACTTTTCTGTAGAGCGTCAGATAAATTTATTAAAAATAAAAAACGAATTTTTAAGAAAACACAGGTGCTGAAATTTTTCGGCGAAAAAAAAAATTTCGAATCGTTCTGGAAAAATTATTTTCGTTTACGGGTATAAATTATAATCATTTTTGGTCATTAGGCATACCCCCGAAATCCTGCACATTTTCGAGAAAAAAATTCAGTACAGGCGGAACTTTAAACGTTAATAATTTTTTAACGAACCCTCTATCAACAAATTGGTATTCTTGATTTTTGTCTTATTGTCGTCTCTAGAATCTCCCATTAAAATTTTTCCTAGGGTTGACCGAACAACCTGTGTACTTTAAATACAAATCAATCGACTAAACAATATACATAATTTTAAAAAGGTATTCTTATTGTTAGTAATTTATTAATTTACTTTATTATAACAATGAAGTACGGTAGATCAGAATGTTCATATTTTCAAATTCCGAACTTGCAAAAATTTTAATTTAGATCCTCCTTACCTCTCCGTACAAGCGACCCTTTTTGTTGAAAGCCAAATAAAGGCTAGTTTCGATGCTTTGTATTCGAATCACGCCAAACGATACCGGTATAATGTGAAGCAGGGCTAAAAATATAAGAAAGTCGTTTCTTCGAAGACTATTTTCCGCACACGCCACCGTTAATCTTCAATAATCGCGAGCTTATATCGCTCAGAACGTTTATGATATTCAAAATAATTATTACCATGCTGTTCGTTAGTGCCACTCAACCCTCGAACGCGTCCCGAATCTGTAATAGCAAGATGGTAACCGGTTCGACAAAACAGTTTGATTACCAGACAATTGTATATAGGATTTTCTGCCGGTTTCCTCGGGTCCCATATTACACAAGGTGGTGGTTTAACCGACTTGGTCGTGATGTAATGTGGAATCCTGTAAAATGAAATTCAATATTAGAGTCAAATTGTATAAGTTCGTTTTGCGTAACCAAGTGGTCTGGGATTATTTTTAAAATATTCATTCTACTTCAATATGTTGCATGGCATTAAAGGGATCATGTAACACAATGATTAATTTATTCGCTATCGTGGTTTCCCACCTCTGAATTTGGAAGTTATTTTCTCAGAAACCAATGAATATAATGACTTCGTCTTCTTTTAAATTAAATGGTCCAGGAAGACTAATCCTTCCATGTGCAACCAAATCTTTTGGGGTGATTGTTAGCAAATTGTACCTTCAAATTATTTAAATGGAAGTTGGTATACATTTTGTATATCAAAATTGAATAATATTTACTTCAACCATTTTATTTCATTATACATAGTTATATTCTAGGATTTTTAAATATATATTGAGTCTTCTATATACAGGGTGTTCGGCTACACCTGGGAAAAATTTTAATGGGAGATTCTAGAGGCCGAAATCAGACGAAAATCAAGAATATCAATTTCTTGACTGAGGCTTCGTTAAAAAGTTAAAAAAACTAAATTAAAAAATTCAAATCATTATGAAAAAATTCCTTTGGTTGTAGAGGCAAATTACAATAATTTTTGGTCAATAGACATACCCCCGAAATCTTATGCACTTTCAAGAAAAAAATTCGAGTAGATGAACAGATTTTTTGACGAAATTAAAAAATTTCAAATCGTTCTGAAAAAATTATTTTCTGTTGCGGGGGTTAATTACAATCATTTTTGGTGAATAGACTTACCCCCGAAATCCTGCGCATTTTCGAGAAAAAAAATTCAATACAGACGGAGCTTTAAACATTAATAACTTTTCAATGAAGCCTCCATCAACAAATTGGTATTCTTGATTTTCGTTCTATTTTGGCCTCTAGAATCTTGCATTATAATTTTTTCCAGGGGTGGCCGAGCCTGTATAAAATCTTTTTACTGTTTATATTCATGTACTATAAAGAATCCATGGCCTTGTTAGTTCGAGATGAAAGCCATTAATTACTCTGCTTTCAACCGAGAACTAGTTATTATTTTGTCATTTGAAAACGGGAATTACCGTGCTACGTTTCGTACTGATCTGATAGTTTGACTTACAGGTAAGTCTTATCTTGCAGATCCTGTCCTAGATGTGGTACTATTAATTGTTTGAACAGTCTATACAAGCTAATTATCTACTAATAAACTACAGAGCAATTATTCGTATCTAAGGCAAGATCTACTAGGTAAGCATCACTGATGAGTCTAACTAGCACATCGGGAGTGAAACGCAATAATTGCTCTTTGTATAAAAGTATTTATTGCACACGGTAGTGAAAAATACTTTTGTTCGTATATCGAAGGTCTTTAAAAAATAAGTGGCCCGAATTTCTCTCGATCTCTAATAGGCCTTGAGTTTCAGTAATTATTGAAATTTATGATATGATATCGAAACAGTCTAATGAGTACCAATTAATACTATCATTCTTACTGCTAATGGATACGTAATAACGATTAAAATTTCTCTTATCTTGCTCAAATAACGTCAAATAATGTTCAGATACTTAATAGTTTATCTGAACGTTGATTTTAGTATCTGTGACTTGAAAAGAATATGGATTGTTAAATTTTGCTAAATATTGATTTCGAAGAATATAATAATTCGTTTTCTCGTGAAAAATTCGTCCATCGAACGATCTCTGATAGGGATAGAAAACTATTTCATTGGAAGTTTATATGAAATCGACTTTCCTCATTCTTTCGTAAGCTCGTATATTTTTGATTACATATCTCGTTCGAAACTTTCCAGTTTTCTCGTCCTTCTCGCTATTAGAAATAATTCAAGCAACTTTCAATTCCTTTTCATTTTCCCTGATGGAGTTCTTCTTTACTGCGGAATACAATTGCAGATCGCTTTTCAAAAGAAACTTTACCGAATTGTAACAATTTTCCATATTTCTATCTCGCATATCTGAAGCTCTTTACAAAATTGAAACGTGGGACATATTCAAACACGAAACTTTTAATAAACGATCTTTTCATAATGGAGGATGCACAATTCAGGTCGAAACACTTTATAATGCTTCTTTGAAATAATTCTTTGAAATCAGATTTGCAATACATCTACTTTGATTCCTTAAATAAATTTTGAAGCATACAAATACACTCTATGTGGATTCCACGCTAATTTTAAATAAATTTATTTCAAGCAACTCGCTTCCGAATGATATCGTGAAATTAATTAAGGTTTTAAATGATGAAAAGTTGTTCAATAATTAAGTAAATTTAGTTAACAACGAACCATAAATTTGTCTAAATTCACACGCACGTGATGCTGGATATTAGAAGTTTCTTCTTTTATTTTTAACGACGGAGCATTGTTAGAGGCCAGTGAAAGAAATATGGCAAAGACGGGGGGTACATTATACTGATAAAACTAATGCGAACGGACACACGGAGGTGTGCTATTTATAACATATCATTACGTTTGGAAAAATAGGTCGATCGACTTTTCAGGTCAGCAGGCTTCGTGAATAAAGCGTGCCTCGTTGCACCGTAGACGTTTTCCAACCCCGTTAATTTTAAACAGACGTTCGAGGGGAAGAAAGACAATGTCGATAGACTTCATCCAAGAAGCGAAGCGTCAACTGATAATAATCAAGCTAATGGCTCCAATAACGAGTCTCGAACACATTAATTTCACTTCTCATACATTTACGAAAAAGTAGAAAAACCGGGTGTCTTTCATAAAACGTAATAATACACTGCCACTAGCTAAGTCGACAAGAATGAATTAAAAAGTACTTCGGTACATATAAGATAAAAATTTCTGTCAGAAAAGATCCAATTACTGTTGTCTTAAGCAATCGATTCTTTTAAAAGAAAAGAAATACTGTGATTTACGGTAACCCTATTTTAATTTGCAAATTTATTTAATTTAGGAAGACAGTACTAAACAATTACTGTCACTTTACAGAATCGATTCTGGCAATATTTTATTACTGGTCTTATTTCTTCATAAAAAATTTTTCTTCTTATTTTTTAAAAGAATAGAAATACTGTGATTTACGGTAACCCTATTTTAATTTGTAAATTTATTTAATTTAGGAAGACATTACTAAACAATTACTGTCACTTTAAATAATCGATTCTAGCAATATTTTATTACTGGGTCCTATTTCTTTATAAAAAATACAGATTTTTCTTCTTAGTTTTTATTACTCGAGAAAGAAATACTGAGATTTACGGTCTTTCCATTTTCATTTATGAATTCATTAATTTAGGAAGAGTGTTTCGAGCGATATCTTGGCTGGTCTTTTTGGTGATAAAAATTTTGCCATATAAAGGTTCGTTTTCGAGAAAAATCGAGTTTAAAAATGTACCGGATAGGCGCGTGCTATTGAATGACTTTTGGCTGGCGCGTCTGTGCGTTACTCATTGTTTCTACTTCTACCGATGTCCAGGTCGAACTTCGTTGATTACGTATTGGCAAGCGCGTCTGTCCATTACTCACTGTTTCTACTTATACTGACGTCCAAATCGAACTCTATTGTACGCATACTCGATATATTTTCAAATTTAATTTTTTCAAAAACGAAACTTCATATCAAAAATTTTTATTCATAATCGTATAGTTAAACAGAGAATGAATAAACTAACAGTATCTATCGATTTAAATATCATTATTAACAACGTACTGCTCAATTATCGAAGTTATATAAGATTTAAATTGAATGCTGAAAATGTCACTAATAATGTAAAAATTATCACATTGGTCTCTGAAATAGATTTGTTATAAAGAATTATAATTAAGAGTAATTATTTAGACAACACACAAAAAATAAAAAAAATTATAATAAAAATTCTCTACTATCTTCATATCCATATGTTGACTAAATATAATACGCGTGTTCGAAGTATAGAAAAATGCACTCGTATAATACATTTAACATTAATTTCAAGTGCAATAGATCGTTGAAAATGTGACATGAAAAAATTTAGTTCACGTTTACTGTTAGATACAGAAACTTCTGCTTTTGCTGGAAGTGGTAGGTGTAAAAAAAAAAATTGAAAAATTCCGCCGTTTAGAGTTCGCTATCGGTAGAATTACGCGCTGACATTGCGCAAAGACGCCCCCGGTAATTACGCGTAGAACGTGCACGATCTATTTGTTGAAACTCGAGCACGGTCATAAACGTCGAACCTAATTTTGCGTGGCACGTCGTGCGTGCGCTTTAATGCAATTCGCGCGGAATTGCAGACTCGTCAGTTGCCACGGTTCTCGAATGCTGGGTAATGATAGAACGCAGGGCGATACCTATTGTACCTAGTGACCCTGCAACAAAACATATATAGAGCAGAAAGTTAATCGAGTCAAGTGATCAATCAGAGCATATCGTACCGTGTATCGGAGGGTAACTTCGCGTTCGTCGTCAATGTTGCGATCAAGGTACGGCTCGTTTCGTTAAGAGGCTGCAATTGTGCGAATTATGTCATAGAACGGTGCAGAAATTACACAATAATTTTCGATCGTCGGCTGAAATTCTTTTCCTTTCCACGGTGACTCAAAATACGCGGTGAAAACAGACGCGTCGACCTCCGAAACTAAATGGAATATTATATTTTCAACGACTCTCGTTCGTAAACGAAACCATTTTATCCGTGCAGTTAATCAAAAATAGTTATTACTGCCGACAGAAAAAACAATCACGCTTTAATCGTCTCGAAATCGATTATCTTGAAAATGACAATCTGTATAAAAACTTTTACCCTATTTATTTTTGTAGCTAGGATTTTTTTTATTGGTTCATGTATATTTACTGCACGAGGAAGTATTTTAAAGCCGTCGAGTTAAGAATGGAAACGCTTAATGACCTAATCGACCGTTCAATTAATTCCTGCTTATCAGTTTATAAACTGCAAAAGATTGATAAAGTTGAACAGACTTTCACGACGGCGTAAAGTAGAAAATAAATCGAGTGTAGCGATCGATGAACTAGTTCCTTGTTTACTACAATAATCATTCAACGACCCTTTTTTCCTCGAAGGGGTAAATTAATTTTGCCGCTAGATTTGTCGTGAATATTTAAGGTCAAAGGGGAATAGCAGGAAATTTAAAACTGTTAATTTTGCAGCCGGCGGGATGGAGAGTTAATCGATTCGCGTGATTAATGAATGCTCGTTGTAGTACGCGTCACAGAAATATTGCGAACTTTGCTGCCATACGTGTTCGTGGAAAACATGCTGTGGAATATGCAACATAAGTTCATCGATATCAGAGTCTCGTATCAATATCAATGCAACGAATCGAATATATATTTTTTTTTTAATTCAAATCAATTTGAATTTTTTTCTCTTGTTTTTGTATCTAATCAATTTTTATAATTCTTGTGTATATTTTTGTTTCTCAGAGTAAAAATTACTAGTAATTTTTTATAATTCCTTCTGTTTATAGTACTTGAAAGGAAACTTTTAAAATATTATGTAAATTTCCTTATGCAAGAACGAAGATTTTATGTAGAATCATGTTCATTATAGAAAGTGCTTTCTTACTTTCAATCTTCCGAAAAATACATTTTTTGTTTAATTAGAAGAAGATTGAATAGAATTGTATTCTTGAGTATTTATTATTTTATCGCAAAACCACTCCCAACAAAAATGATATCCTTCCAACATTATCATGTTTACATAGAATAACCTATGTATTCGTTACTTATAAAGATTTAAAGAAATGTTTTAAAAAATGTTAAAAGGAAATTAAATTCTGCATAGAGAAGTTAAATAAATATTTTCTCTGTCTTTTCTAGTAAAGTAAAATTAATTGAAATCTTCGTTTGACTAACTCGAACACAAAACTACAAACGAAATTTCGTGAATTATTAAGAAGTCACCCAGCCATAAATATTCTCTTTTTGTGTAACCTCATTTACGTGGCAATTAGTGCTTTTAAATTTATGAAAGTTCCACTTAGGAAGTATTTCGATTAATGGTAGTTAAACTATTATAGAGCATCATAAACAACGTCAAAGTTACTATAATTATTGACGAAGTTTGGAGTACCTACGATAGATTGATCGAACAATAGCGAAACTTCTCGAGCTGACTCTAACTCGATTAATACTTAAATAAGTTTACAAAGATTCCGTGTTATCGATAGTTTCTAATTACTGGCAAATACCCATTCTCATTGAATTTCACTGTGGTGGTCGGATGCCTTCTGGTTTCTCTTTTTCCTCTACGATCTCCATTGATCTCCTTTTCGTTCGTCGTTCCTTTCTCTTCGACGATCGATAGATCGGAATCGTAGCTGTCGTCGCTGCAACTGTCATCGATGTCGCTGCATTCTTCGTCGCATGTCGGCGCTTCTAGATTTTCGTGAATCCACCGAAGACTCATCCTTTTATGTTAATCTCTGGTCCTTTGATACCTGAGTAAAATAAAATTTGTCTCAACTTGGTCAAATGAAAAGTAATCAAACTGAATAATTTATATTTGACAATAAAATGACTCTGTGCGTCAATAAATTAAAATCCACTTTCTAAAGAGATTTTTAGAGACATTTATCAGAAAAATCGAAATTTTCAAATTTCCAATTCAAATTGCCTTTTTATCGTTTTTATCTATTTAAAAAAATCTAAATGCAATTGATTACTATAAACGAATATTTATAAAGAACGTTCACTTCATTATATTTTTAAAGTTTGTTTTAATTCTATCATCGATATTTAATATTCGTTTTAAAGCAACGATATGGTCAACATCTAATCTATGTGCAATAACTGTTAGTTATAATTCATCAGATCAGGATAGATACGGTTGAAAAATTGTTTTTATTATGGTTTACATTTCGTGCTAAATATAATTTGAATTATAGAGGGTTGGATATAGTAGACAATAATTCAGTTATTTGACTGTCGCCACCTTTCAGTTCTCTTTTTACGTAGTACTTTTCTCGTGGGATTTGAAAGTTACTGGAAGAAAGGAATTAAGTATTAAAAGTAACGGAGAACTGTACGGTTCAAGATTAGCGGTAGTTTCGGTCGCTTAATACAAAAGAGCCGTTCGAAAAAGTAGCCTAAATAACGTAGGAATCGCAACAGTTTTACGAAACAAATCCGAATCAAAGGATCGTAAGAATAATGTTATTTAAAAGAGAGAATATTTGAATAAATAAATGCTCAATTTATTCAGTGTGATCTATTTTAAATTTCGCGCAATATCCTCTAAATTGCTAATGAATTAATAAATGAAGATTAAAATTGATTAATCGCGTATTAAAATTTGTGGTCTCGTCGATGAATTGTAGAAAGGTCTCTGTGGGATTAATTTTCCAGTATTCGTTAGATAATAAATAGAATGAGTATGACAATCTAACGGTGGTTTCGATCTACTAGTGTCTAATTGCAGTATTGAGAAAACCATGATACAGAAATTCACGTGTGAAACAGAATAATTTTGTTTCCCCTATACATCGTGTGGCATCAACAGAGATAAAGGTATTTAAAAATAAAAAATTCTATTTATTTTTAATATTATTCACTTTGCATTTCTCAAAGATAGGATACAAACGATCCACTATCTTCATGGATAGTTAATGTACGTGTCAAATATTAATAGAACATCTGTCATGGTATCCGGGAAGACTATTTATCTTGTATTACTATTACTATCATTAATCTTATTAAGTTCAAGAACTCTCTGATTACAAGGTTATCAATATTCCTTTTTAAACGAAAAAATAGAAAAAATGCTTTTCACAATATCTTTCATTTTGTAATTTTAATAATCTCTTTGATATATCCAGAAGTAAAGAATGTAATTAGGTGTTCACCTTTAAACGGCCTACATTGTACATTTCTTTTTAAAAACTCGACTTATGAGTGACCTCATCGGTAAAAAAAATTCTTAAGCAATGTTTAAGAATCTTAAAATACTAAATAAATACACCGTGTTGTCTGGCACGACTCTTACGTAGGCATTCCTGTACGTTTAATTAGATGTATAATTCACTTTCCAATTGACTGTAGAAAGCTAGACTTTGCTATTTTCTAGCGCTAACTACGTCTAATTTGTCATCGTTTCGAAGGTGCGATAAATGCAATAATCCAGAATTATGAAATCCTCAAGTTACAATTAGAATACACGAAATAATGAACAGGTTGGGACTATTTTATGTCCCTCAAAGTATATCTTACAAATTCCTGCAGGTTTAATTAACTCAGCAATACTACACCTATGTATAATCTCGTTAATAGTATGCTGAACAGTTAAGGAAATGTTCATGTATCCCAACCATGAAAATAAGTGAAAGTAGAGATTAAACGCCAGAACAAATCTTTTATTATGCAGTATATTAAAAAAAACAGACGAGACTCTTTTCTATCGCAAAATAAATTCAAATCATTCCTTTTTGCGATTCAATTTATTCAGCAGGCAATACAAAACTCTAAATTGACACTAATTCGTGTTACCTAACGTATTCCTTATACTTGCGAATATTAATTCGAATATCAAACTTTGAAACTATTAAGCTACAATCAGAGCGGACAAAATATTAAATAGATACCATTTTATATCCATCAGCGCGTGTACTTTCAACAGGTTAAATAAAACATGGATTAGAAAGTCAGATGACACTATTTCTAAACAAATCTAATATTTTTTTCTTTAGTTTGAAATTTATTCAGGAAATCTATAAATACAAAATTTTTATGCCCCAGTTCGAGTATACAAAATACTAAATAAACATTAGTTTGTTTCACTATCGCGTATTTTATACGTTTGATTAAATATTAATATAAAAATTAGATTATTCCTGCTATTTAGAAATCTATTCAATGAGAAATTGTTATAATTGAAACAGATAAAATACTAAATAGGTGTCCTTTTATGTTCCGTAATGAGTATCTAAAAATACACGCAGGTTAATCAAATAATAATTAGAAAATCAGATGCCATTGTTAGTTAATATTAAATAAACTGAAAACTCTATTTTAGAATATAATGTATCCAGAAAGTTTTCCATACGAAATGCATTATTTTGAATACGTAAATTTGTAAACAAATACTAGTTTATGGTACCTAGCGCTTATCTAATTCGTTTAATTAAATATTAATTAGAACATCAGACTTTTCTATGTATTCAGTCAACGTAAAACTCTCAGGCTGCAATTAGAATAGATAAAACGCTAGATAGGTAACACTTTGAGTCTTTCGAAAATAAACTTACTCGAAAATGCCTGCAGGCTTAATCGAATAGTAATCAGAAAAGCAGACGCTATTTTTTATAATAATAATCACAACATGCACCATGAAATACTAAATAAAGATTCATGTTTTTTGACGCGTATCATGTATACCTTTCATTAAATATTAACACTAGATTTTCTGACATCCACATATTTTTATTTAAACCAGTCGTGTTGTCGATTTAATAAATTCCTAACGAACAATATTTATGAGTTCTCTAACTTTCTTTTTAAATAACACTTTAGGGTTTAGGGAACGTGTCGACTCGATAGATTTCAGATCCCATACCGAAAGTTAGACCTCATAAACATTGTTCGTTAGCAAGTTATTAAATAGACAATATGCTTGGTTTAAGTAAAAATTGTGCAACGAATGTCTGTGAATCTAGTGTTAATATTAAAATTAAAATCCGTCATGTCGACGCGTTTCCTAAACCCTAAAGTGTTATTTAAAAAAAAAACTTCTCTGACCCAAACCATCCCGATAAAAATTCTCGAAGCTACGTTAAAAACGCACGAAACAGGAAACAAAAATGTGACTCACCGAGAAACTCGTAGGTACAAAGTTTCGTTCGAAACTTCGAGCCTGATTTTCCGAGTAACGACGTTACGGCGAGCACAATTCCGACAGAAACACCGTAGTAGGATGATACCACGGGTTTCGTAACACTTCCTAGCACGTCTATTGAACAGTGTTCCGTTTCACGGGGTCCACGAGCACATTGTTTGCCGGTACGAATCGCTATCGTCGATGGATGTGCAGACGCACCTTCCTACCTAGGTGCTCCGCGTTTATCACACGACTGAGCCGGCTCCGGCGAGCTTCGTTGGATAATACTGGATATGACGCCGTTCTATTGGTAGACGGCGTAGTCAGCAGTGGCCAGCAATTCGTGGTAGACTAAATTAAAAATGGGACACGCGGCGAAACCTGAAGAACGTGAATGATCTTTTGTCCGCGCATGATTCCGCGAGCAGTCGTCGAATAAGCGCGCCAACCTATTAACGACAGCCACTTCAGCGAGTGTTGACGTTAACTTCCACCGAAACTCCGCTCGCGTTTGCCAGAACGAGCAACTTTCACGGGCTCTTAACGATCACCGAATCAGCGTTCTACCAAACGGAGTTCCGCGCCTCGTAAACAAGTGTTCCGTGAAAGATCGTAATTAAAAGAATGACATCGGTAATCCACTGGGAACGATCGCTGGCTTGGAATCGAATTGTGATTCAAATCGACGTAGTGCGACCTCTGACCCACTGCGAAAATTGAAAACCTGAAACTCGAACACCACGCAAACTCGAAGACAATATTAATTTCATTCACGAAAAGCGGTGTTTGTTATTTTTGGTGACTTTTTTAATGAATCTGTTTTTAATTCAATTTAATTTTTGGTATGATAATAAATATAGTCTATCCAGAGTGTACCAGAGGAAACACCAAATCGAAAATTAAAAATAAAATTTCTTTATTCGAGGCTTCGTTTTTGGAATACCTGTTTTTGTGACGTGTATTTTATATTGGTAAAATATTGTAACGAAAGTAAAAATTCATTGTCTCTTTACTGTTAGCAAAATAAAATAATTATAGAAAAATCGTAACTTGTTTCTGAGTTCCATGTTTATCCAGCTTTGTAAAATATCTATACCTTCAACATGTTTTTTAATGGAATAAAAAATAAATACTAAAACCGAGCTTTTACAACAGAGTACAAATTTTATTGTAGAGGATTAACTCAAAACAGAAAAGAAGTGATTTAAAAGTTAAAAATTCACAAAGAACTATTTAGAAAAGTTTCCAAGGGAAATCAGGATTTTCCTTGTAAGTAAAGTAATTAATTATAAGTAGTTTATTTGTTTAAAATTAAAAATACGCTATAATCCAACGATGTAACAACACTATATTGATAGTAAAGAAATTATTTAATTGGCCCACTATTGTTTTTATGTATCTGTATTCTGTTGCATTTTATGACCTCACTCTATAATCATAATTCATCACAGATACTTTCTACTGTTTCCCCAGTTATTTTTCATTTTTATTACGGAAACTCTACTACATATAACATTAAATCTAAATTTAAAATTGTATCTTAATATTACTTTTTTCAATTATTAATACTCTGGCATCGATTAACGATCAATCGCGGAACACTTTGTTTTTCCGAGCTTTGCACAGTGTTTTTCAAACTACGATTCGCGGATCCCTGAGTAAATCTGTAAGTGTAGGTATTTTTTAAATTTTATTTTTCCCTCGAGTTTTCGATATTTCTGGATTTGTTTACTGCACATCAAAGGCTAAAACCAAACATTTGTTCCGTTAAAACTCGAAAACGGTACAACATGTTTCGATGAAATTTTGAATATTTGTTTTCGTAAGTTTGAACTAAAAGCAGCAATACGATAGTGATTCTATTTTTATTTCTTACTTAAGTTTTCCCTCGATCGTGTTTGCAAGGATGTCGGTTAAAAAAAATTCGTTAAATTTGTTTTTTATATTTTATCGCTATCAAAACTCGATATAAAGTTATTGTTTCATAAATTATCGAACTGTTTTCGAGTTTTAACGAAACACTCAGACAAACAGATGGATATTCATGGATATTAAACTCAAAAGTATCAAAAATTTGGAAGAAAAGAGAAATTAAAATAATACTTACTTTTACTGATTTTTTTTTCTTTTTAACTGTATTAACCATTCGAATGGTTTAATTTGTTTTAAAAATTTTACAGACTATAATTTTTTAGGATGCTTAAAGCAATCTGTTGCAGTGTCATAGTGACTGGGTTCGTTTCTATTGAATAGAACATAATTTTCCTCTGGGAAATGTTAAAATCTCCGACTAAATGAAATTTATTTAAATGCATAAATTATATTCTTATTTCTTAATAAATCAAATAATTCTTTAAAAATATATAAAACTATTGATCAATATATTTTATTACTAAATACTTCAAAGAATTTTCTAAAGGATCCACGAACAAGTAAATAGTCGTTCCATTAATAAAAATAATTATCGAATTAATACCAACCCCATTTTATATTCTTATCTATAAATATTTCATGAGCTATAAATCATCCACCTGTGACACACATATTCCCTACACGTGTTTATTTTAAACGCACACTACAATTAATTTACTCCCACGTGTCAAAATAAACACAATAGCGACTTGGAGGAGCGAACAGGAAGTGGTGGTAATTAATATACGCGAACGTATCTACGCAGAAGTATAAAAGCTCGAAAGGAGGAAACAATTCCTTGGACATTAATTAACATATAAAATGCAAAACTGATATCCATCGTACAGTATTCTTGCATATTATACTTGTTAGTCGACGAGTTACCTTCACAATGTAACCAAGTCTGGTCTACAGAGGCTCGTTAACCGCTATGGGACATGTCGTGGTTCCTTGACAAGTAACAACTGTTGTGGTTAGGTCCATACACGCACACACACACACACACACAAACGACACGTTGAACAACCACTACTCTTCGCTGCGAAACTTCTAACCGGATTATCGATGACCAGAGTTCAGTCGTATCGTTTCGCGTGGTTAAATATATTGGAATTCTTTTTACTTTCAGTTTACTTTCTTCTTATTAGCGCACACAGAAATATGAGAACCATAGACTGCAGGTCAAATAATATACGGTTCAGTAATACCCCACATTGACCTGGTCTTTGAACCTTTATAGAATGAACCTTTTTTAAAAATTGCCTTTAAAGTGAATCGTTTCGAATTTATTCTTGAAACTAAAGTCACCTCTTTCTTCGTTATACGAACTTTTCATTAGAAATTATTTTAATGTAAGAAATTTACTTAAATATTTTGTGAAAGTGTTACACGAATTCATGTACAAAGTGCAATTAAAAAAATGATTTAAAATTGTGCTCTGTTGCGGTTAACAAATATTCTTGTGCTCAAAACGAAGTTGATTTTCTCGAAGACGAAGAATCATACTGAAATATGTTGTTCCTCATTTTCAATTTGTTTTTACACACAGAGTCAACATTTATTTTTGCATTGTCTCGTTTTCAGTCGTACCGCTAATTACAGGACCTTTCCGCGCGCGTTTTCGTGCCTCGTTGCATACTAATTAAATAGGAGCCTTTAAGAAAATTGTAGTTTTGCGATGGCCTTAATACACGTACGTGTGGCTGGTGTTAACTGACCGTTTAATGCGTTTGGTAATTAAGGGTGAAACGTGCTCGTAAAATATTTGTTCGTCGAGGGGAAGCGTCACGGTGTTCTATCGAAAAAGTAAGTTTGCCTCTCGTTCGATCATGCTTCAACGTGGGAGCGTGCCTACGCAGGTGCGCGTTTATTAATAGAGTATCCGAATTAACGATGCCGATAAACCAATTCTAGTGCTAAAATTTCCATAACAACCAGCGATTATTGGGTATCAGGTTCAATAAACAACTGTCAAATAAAAATAAAAATTTTGATCTTACCGCTATAATTTACCACAAATAAATTATTGTACTTCGTCTGGTTAGTTATTTATTATTCGAATAAAATTTTCTACGTTCCTGGTTGGATCCTGAACCTTTCGAATACTCAAAACTTCTCAGTGAGGTCGGTTTAAATAAATCTGCGGAATAATCTAAACCGTGGTTAATTCTGTATACAAATTGGGATATTTGAAATAGATTGCTTGGACAACTCGTTTATTTTTGAAGGTAGGAAAGCAAACGTTAAGGTAATTCGATCGCAGAAATTTCTCAAATAATCGTACCGTGCCTGTTCTAACTCCGTGGCTTGGAAGCGAGGAATGTTCCAATGTGTAATTTTGTCCGATCGAAAATGAACTCTGTAGACATCTTGACCGTGAGACGGTTCGCCGGGACAGATGAGGGAAATGAAAGATTCATGGTTGCGTGTAAGTGTTACTACGAATCGATTGTCCAGCAGACGGTTTAATAATTTTATGCTGGACAACGATCTAGGTGATTCGAGATGTTACGCTCTAGTTCAAGATTCGTATTGTTTGTGTTTAACGGACTGACGCACGCGTGTTTTATGTGTGCACGCTCTGTAACGGCGCTGAGAAATCATGAAAAAATATTTCTATTTACCTAGCAATGTAAAACACAGTGTAGATTAGTGCACGGATTAGGAAGATTATTCAATTGTTCAAATTACAATTAGTCAGTGTATGGTAAGATATTTGATCTCTTTTTAGGTGCTGCAATTTGGGGGAAGCTACTATATTGACAAAAATTCTATTATTTTAATCATTCCCAGTTTTTTTTATTTGTTGAATCATTAAAACTTATTTAAACTCTCACGTAGTAATTGAGGTGTCATTTTAATTCATTCTAAAACATAAACAAATGAATATTTCAATGACAATGGTTGCGATTATTGCAAAACTTACTGTGAGTTAAATCTAAATTGTGAAAAAATAGATATAACGTATATTAAATTATTTTAATTTATTTCATTACTAAATTAGTTTTTTTGAGAGAGAGCCACCGTAGAAAATTACTAATAAATGGTTCGAAAGCTACTAAATTATTATAGAGGGATTACAATAATATAATCATAAATTTTTTTTGTAGAAAATCACAATTCTTTCAACATAAATACTTTGGAAATTTTTATAAACCTGGTTAATCTAAACTTTTTCTTTTTGATATTGTACATACTTAAGGTATCAATTTTGATGATTATAGCACCGATTAGTACTCTAAAATTCTATTTTTTAAAAATGATATATATGGTTAAAAAACTGCATATGTAACTTTGGGGTTTTTTTAAATGAAAAACTAGACCCTATTGATGGGATAGAAAAGTGTCCAATTTTTATTGTATTTAAGGGTACGGTGTTCTTGCAATCTATCGTAAAAATGACTCGTTTATCACTTCTTTGTAGCGTATTAATAGAGGGACGGGGATCACGTTACTGAAACTGATGACACGAGTCGAAAGATGACCGGTAATTCAATTCCAGGTGCTACGACGCAGTCCTGGTTACATCCAGATTCCGTCTCCCTTCGTCGTCGGTTTTCCACGATTACGCAACTCGACCTAGAATTAATTGTTTTCGAGGAAGTAGGGTGCGGCGAAACGGTGCGGCGGAAGTAGTGTGGACGTGCATTACGCTCTATTTGTTTACACTATCATATTCGTGAATTTAACGACGTCTTGTGCCACTGATTCCCTCATTTTGTTTGAAATTTACGCACGTTGATGTTTGTTTCAGGAAAAACCTTGCTTTAACCAAGTCAAGCAATTTATTGTAAATTCTATGTCAATTCGTGTGTATTCTTAGATCAGAATCTTGTTTTAAATTATAAATTTAGTTCCATGAAGAACAGGTATCGACAACGCCATAGCGTCATGTATGAAGAAATACCAAACAAGGTCGTCGTTTTTAAGAAAAATTTCAGAAAAATAAAAATATTTGTGTGCTTTATTAAATAATGCATTTTTGCTCTAATTTGTTGCACGTACTTCTTGAAGACTAACGATTATTTTATGACCTCATAGTGCAACCCTTTGATCTCTGATTTGACTAAAGCAATGAAGTTTTCTTTAATATAATATTAACAAACTTTTTTAATTACATGTGTAATCACGTTTCTATAGAAAAATTTGTATAATATAGATATCTGCTATTTAAATATAAAATTGTTCCAAGGGTTGAGGATCGACACTTTTTAAAATATATGCAGATTGAATTAAAATTCTCAGAAGATTTACAAAACAGAATATTTTTTATTAACTAACAGAAAGACAACTTTTACTACTCATAGTTTACATTTATCTTTTTTTTTTAGAATAATCTGATAATTTTTTTTCAAATAACATAATAATAAATATTCTTTCTGTGATATTAAATTATTGAAAAAAATATATCTAAAATTCTAAATTAAAATATCTACATTACCTTCTTAGTTAATTTTCAATTTTGACGTTCAATGACATTTGGCTTCGCATTATTCAATGTCATCGAAACAGCTAAATATATCTTATCGATAAATCGTCGATAATGCTCGTCTAAAAATGAAAAGTCCACAGTATATATTTACATGTTATTACCAGCAATATAAGCGCGTAAATTACCATGTGATGAATTCGAAGAACGTTGTCTTGCATCTGTGAAAAGGACGTTTAGATGACAGGAAATCGAAGCGACAAGGTGATAGTCCACGTTCGCTATAATAAACATTTATTCTCGATAATATAAAATTACATGTTGCGATAACGCGAGACCATATTATACAATATTTCACAATAGTAACTATGCGTCCTCGACGCGACGACGAATGCACACGACGAATATCATCGATCGCTAGGGAATTTGACCATTGTCGTATCGCGACGCATCGAGCTTTCGAGAAAAAAAAAACCAAAAATAAAGAAACTCGCGCTTGAAATCGCATCTCGATTGTACAGCTACAGTTAATTACCGTATTACGCGATAGAATCAACTAGAATCTAAACGATCTCCGTAGAAGGAGAGACGATCGTTCGATTTCATTCGAACGGGTCTACTGATTTGCCAAGCATTTAGAGAAAAAAAAAAGCTCCGAGAATAGAGGACAGTGTAGCGAGGGCTTGTAGATGGGAAATATTCCGTTATTATAGCCGTTACGCATTGGGGATTCTCTCATAAATACCACGGGATAACTATCATACAAAAATATACAGTGAACTCTCGTCGATATTACGCTAAATTCTCGCACGACGCATTTTTTAATAATGGCCGACAACAGCTGCCACGCGATCTGTCGTATCGTTAGTTCCCTATCTTTACGCTAATTACATAAATACACGATTATTTACATTCCCTCTGTCCGTCCTACGGTCACACGATGAAAAAAAAAAATCGACGTCGCGTGAAATCTCGACGTTCCGCTTCCGGTTCGAGTCCGCGGAAGGAATATTCCCATTCGTTCCATCCGTTAGCGTTTATATACAGAAAGAAGAAAATTGTTGGCGTCACGATCGCGCGTCACCGGGTAGCCAAATGGTCAACTATAACTTATAAAATATAGTCCGAAGATGCTATATTCAAGTTAGTGTGGTCCCATTAGCCACTGCTCCGTGGTCTCACACGCAACTGAACTTGACACCTGAAACATCAAGATTAGGATCGCGTGAACTTAATGAGAAAGATACATCGTAGGGGGAAGCGATGCTATGCAGAAAGAGCGATTTATGGGTTATAATGGGTGTATAAATTGTGATGTGTACTTCTTACTTCCTACGATTACGAAAGCATTGAATTTTAAGGATCTGTACAAAAATATTCAATACTTTTACTCTAAACGTGCATTAGTACTTTAATAGTATTAGTAAATTAGTCATTTTCTTCCAATAGAAGATAAAACGCTCTTGAAAACAAATTTTTTTTCAAGTCGATACCGTAGTTAAATTCAGAGAAAACACTTATTTACGAAAAAATGGCATAGTAATTATGCAAACACCCTGTATACAAATTTATATTTATTTTCAATTGAATGAACAATTTATGATTCAGTTTTATCGCACACCAGTCGTATGATTAATAGGAAGTGCTGAGACTATTTTGGATAGGTAGCATCAAAGTAAATGTGAAAATAAACATAGAAGACAGCAAAAATTGTAGTAGCTAGTATAGTCATTAGATGGAGGATGAAATGCCCTTTAAAATGAGCGTTCGAACATGTCGATAGCTTTATTGGTTCCGGAGATATAGCGATTTTAGTTTCAAGTCGATGCGGTGGCTAGTTCCGGAGATATAAGGGTCCGAAGCGTTTGTTTACTTTCTTACTACGGCCTTGTCAAGGTCGTTGACCGCACGTGCTCGTAGTAACTAGGTCACTGGGCCACGATAGTCACGAGTCACGCACGAGACAAAGAGGTCCGGCGCGACGCGTCAGACGGAGACAGCGATAGTCGAATTAAGAAAAATTACAATTTACATAAATTGCGATATCTCCAAAACGGAAAGTCGGATCGACAAAAACCAAACGCCATTTTAAAGGGGAAGGTTTACCGCATCCAACGATGGCTCAGTTATGGAGAAAACACTAGTAGTTTCGGAACTGCACGTGCCTAAAGTTTAACTATTTTTAATACACGTTGTTAGACTGTTTTAAGACGGTGGAAACTGAAAATCCTTTTCTTTCGTCTCTGCTAGACATATATTTCCTATTTACATCGGAAGTTAACCAGAATTTGGTACCAAATTTTGTCCGGTTTTTTATAAAAAAAATATAAATCGTTGTCGTGGTAGATATGACAAATTACATATTTTTCTGAGAAAATAAACAATAAGAACAGAAGTGAATATTGAAGAATTCATTGTACGTAGACCATAAGAAAAGTTGTAAAGTTAAATGGCGCTAAAATAACATTGTATGTTAGAAATTCTAAACGAAATTTTAGAAAAATTTTAGAAAGAGTCACTGATTTAAACATACCACGGAGAGGGAATCGATTTTCGCTGAAGATAATTGGCATTTGCCTACCATAAATCTTAGACATTTAGCAAAAATGAAATGTGGGTACCGTCGTCACTGGAGTAGCAGTTATGGCAGTGGAGCTTGTGATTCCGAACGCGCACGTCTGTTCCCATTAGTCCGTCGCCGAGTCGCACATGACATACGCAGCATTTGAAACACTCCATATGGTAAAATAATCGCAGGCTTTCGATGATCATCGCTGCGCCTCGACCTAACGCCCAGAAAAAAAGCACACGAAAATTTAAATTTCTCTTAAACCATTAGATCAGTTATGCCTTTCTATTAAAATACCATAAATAAAAAATAGCAAAATGTAACGGATCAATAATAAAGAAGTACAACAATGGAAACTACTAATCAATGGTTTAAGGACCAAACGATAAACAGCTTTGTATAAGATCGAATCTTAAGCTCTCGAGTTTTGCATTGACTTCTTCTAATGGTTGATGTCTCCATTTTCTATCTCAATGCACACTATTTGAAATGTACTCTTTTTCTAAAATATTTCTAAATTTATACGGGTTTGCATTTTCATCTTACCTAATTCATCCCCACAGTGCGAGCACTTCTTCTTCCCGCTGACGCTCAGCATCTTCTCCTGATTCTCAGGGTTCATCGGAGGTGGTTGTTGAGGTTTTTGTTGTTGCAAAACGTGTTGCGGCGATTGGTGCTGCAACGCGGAAAGGTGCTCGTGGCTGGTACTGTGTTCGAGCCTGAAAACGGAAGGGGAACACATTTTATCGAATCAAATTGAATTGTAAAATATTATTTAAATATCTGGACAAGGCTATTGACCTTCTTCTCGTTGGCAGTGGCTTTTCCTGCGCTCTGTTCTGCACTCTTTGCGTAAGAGTCTGTATGATGGAATCTGGTAATGGTTTACTGTCCGTTCTAGTTGGGGCCATGGCGTAAGGAACGGACGTTCCTGTTACGTGCATTTGAGATTTCCGCGCCGGTGATCGCTGATTTTTCTCGCTAATCCTTCTCTGTTCCGCTTCCTGCAACACAATATTGCAGCGTCAGCAATACACATTATCTTTATTATCAGGTTGTAACATACGAAATGCCGATTCACCGTTACTTTTGCAATTTTAACGCGCGGGAAGACCTACGGCGAATGGTAGAACCTAGAAATACATGATTCTGAATGCAAAAATAAATCAAAAAGGTACTATTCAATTTTTTCATATAATATTTGTTCGTACAACTGTTCTAGGTATAGTTGAAATATTATTGGTATATTTATTACTGTATTCTTCCTTGATATCCAAGAACAAACATTTTTGCAGAAACCTAAAACTGTTACATGTATTTTTATAGGAAAAACGACGTTTCAACTTCTTCAAATAATTGCATAACATTGTAATTTAAAAATTACAAATGTAAACACATAAATACACACTACTTAACCCCAAAATCTTCTTTCTTCCACATTATTTTATTTTTTCCTCACCAATGAAAAAATGGCTCTTTATTATAGCGTTTCAAAAAAGAAATTCTAGTCAAAATCGGTTTTGAAAACCATACCAACTTGGTGTTATAGTATTCAATGGACTTCAATATTTTCAATTAAAGAGGATCATTTATTATTATTTAACCAGATTAAAATCTCCATCACGAGACATTGTACACCATTCTTTCGTTCTTGCACCATCATCTTGTACGTAGAAAATCTTTCTGTGTTGTTTGGATCAAGCTAATGTTTAAAATTAATTTCACTGTATCTAATTTTGAAAATATAAAAATGTGTTTTCGTCAGATTGGTTATCTTTTGTTAGCGTTTAAACAGTTACTCACTTGTATGAGCCAGTGTTGGTAGTTCAAATCGTGAGCGCCTCGCGGCACGTCGCTCTTCCTTCGTTGGACCCACTGGTCACTCTGAACGATTCGTGGTCGAGGAACTGCACTAAGTGCTTGCAACGTCTGCCTGGTCATCTGTTGACCCGCATGGCTGGAAAGCGTCGTGACCGATGCACTGTGTCTCAAAGACGCGTCCACTTGCTGCGGAATCGAATCAGCGGACGGGATTCTGCTGTTCCTGTTCATTTCAACGAATTTCTAATTAACTTCACTCCTCTCTCTGCCATTAAAGTTCATTCAGTCCACGTTGCTAGTAATTTACACCTAACGTAATTTACTTTCTTCGTTTGTTTTCTGTTTTAAGAAGCATCGAATAGTTCAAGCGTCTAAGGGTGATCGAATTCCAACTAATGACTGAAGCAACCGATACGACGTGTCGGAAAATGTTACGTCAGACGCAACAAAGCGGAAAGTATCAGCAGGAAATTAGGCGACACACAGTGCATGCATATGTTCCGCTTCCAATTTGCATTTCCTGCTTGCAGCTGTTCAAATGCTGACGTAACAGTGACCTGTTCCAATTTGAGGATTGACTCGCGAACAGAATCTTCTTCGGTACTTTATTTTCAGGTCGAGAAATATTTGTCGATAAAACAAAGAACAGGAATATTTTTTGTAAATATGGATCAAATATAAATTGACGTATCTATTATTTACCTGATAGTAACGTCTCGTTGTCTCTGTTCTACCAAACGCAACGGTTTCGCCGGTGGTATCGGTGGCGGGGGTGGTCTTCTTCTTTGCACGTCCTGAAGCTGAAGATTAGGCATCGATGACCTGTAATTCACCGGTGGCTGATTCTTGTACTGTTGAACGTTATTCGCAGAACTGTGAGCAACGTCTTGCAATGATTTCCATTGTTCCTGCAGCTGCTCCGCCAATTTTAGCTGCTTCTGTTCGCGATACGCCAGGTTGTTGCGTTGTCGTTTCAATTCTTCTTGCTCCAACTGGAGCAATTCTCTTTCCACTCTGAGAACTTCCTACTCGAAGAAAATTAATAACTAAGCGAACTACCGTTCCACGCGTATCTGTTTTATTCTCATTAAAATGTATCGTTTAATTATTTTCTATTATGTACACACTTCTCGTTTGTATTATTGTCAACGAATCATCAACAAAGTTTGAACAGTGTGAAAGTTGGAATTCTTCAATTGATAGCTGCCTGATCTTTGTTAAAAGCAAGCATCGAATAATCTAACGAAAATCATTTAAGATAATAATTCCCTTACCCCGGAAGCAAACTCGTCTTCTTGATCGTTCAACCCAGCACCAACCAATGTTGTGTTCTGCGAATAATTATCAACGACACGCCCGTTAACGTTTACAGTGCGATATATTTCATTTACAACATGCAGTTCAAAATGACTGTTAGTGCATCTAAATTTACGTGCAAGCTCCTTTTCATTTATAATATTTACTAAATTGACTTTATATAAGATTCTTTGGAGGGAATAAAAAGTGAAAATATTATGTTATTTTTATCTCGTACAGATACTATAGTCGGAGGAAAATCAAATTGCCGTTAAAGATCGCTATCTTGAATGGTAAATAAACTTTTTGCAATTATAATGGATATTCTGACTCTAACACACCTCTAAATTAAATTATGGCAATTGGGTAAATTATTTGAAGCATTTAATTGAACTCCAAAATCATTGGATGAAAACTTGATATAACAGACATGGAAGCTATAAAAATATGTTATCTTCAATGAATAATACGAGAAAAATAAGAATTTATTTAAACAACAGGAGAACCTTGAGTCGTATTAAGTGTTCAACATGACTAGTCTTCTTGATACTGATAAACTGAAAGGGCTATTTTCTTGAACGAGTTATAACTCATTTTAAAGCGAAGAAAATTGTACAGTTTTACATAAACACAAAAGTACAATTGTAATTTACAGGTGCATCGTTGCAAATATATCTTATCAAACCATGCAACACTTTCCTTTACCAATTTGCTCAATTTTCACTTACAAAATAGCTACAACTTGTCGGAAATTCTAGAATCACTCTGTAAAGTTTGGACGACAGGTTAGTCTTATTTAACAAAATTTGTGAGTCACTGCATATTTACCATAAACGAGAATCGTATAAGAATGTATATATTTTCCTATGTTAACGTTTGTCGTAGGCCTTTTCCAAAAAAAACACATTTTTAATCGACAGTTTGGAATAAACATTAAATAGAAGAGGTACAGTGTTGTGAGACTTTCTTCCACGTGCGTCGTGATCGAGTGATGTAGTGTTTACTATTTACTACGAGCACGTGTGGTCAACGACCTTGCCAAGACCGTAGTGAAAGTTCAATGATCTCACGGTGTGTACAATGAAATGTAAACAAACGATTCGAACCCTTATATCTCCGGAACTAATTATGATATCGACTTGAAACTAGTCTCATTTTAAAGGGCTCTTCATCCTCTATCCAATGACTATACCAGCTACTACAATTTATGCTGTCTTCTATGTTTATTTTCACATTAACTTTGACATTATATACCCAAAGAAACTTCAGTAATTTCTATCGACTGTACATTGCATATAATACTGGATTAATGATGGCTTTTTTAATTAAAAATGAGTTAAATTTGTATACTGAGAATGAAATTCTTAACAATATCCCTTCATAAGTTCTTTCGAAGAATTGGAAATTTGTTAATTTAGACTCTTGTGATAGGTCGTATTTTATGAATCAGTATATCGACACATGTTTATAAGTTCACATAAATATAATTGATACTACAGTTAAACAAAATTTTGAAAAATGTTATAAAGGATCTAATTACTCTATCGATTTGAAACAAGTTTCATTTTGAAGAACCAGTTAGATTTTATATAATTTCGATGATAACTTTATTCTATTAGTAAAATTCTAATTTTTATTTAATGTTTGAAAATGGTTGCAAGCGTTTTACATATTATGTTAAATTTAGTTTAGTAAAACAATGTTTATCCGTTTCCGTGCTTTCTGGAAACAATACACAAGGGCAGAAACGTTAAAATAAAAAAATATTCCCAAACAACTCTCGTCTATGCATCATTGAATTGCACAAGCATGGATCTAATTCGTATGTTCAATTTAACATTGAAGCATGAGATGCACTTTGAATCGTAATTATCCAAAAATGATAGGCAACGATAAAAGAAAAAATATCAAAGAGTTTGAGCAAACTTAGAATTGCTCTTGTCTCGTACTGCAAACCGTACTCCTCGTTTCCACGAAAACGTTTCAAAAACCAACCACGGATCAGGCAGTAAAGAAAGGAAAAACTGAAAAATACCTCTTGCTCGCGAATTTGGCACTCCATGGTCCTAATGCGTTTCTCTTCTTTGCGACGAGCGTCCGCTGCCCTCCTTTCCTCCTCGATTTCATTTTGGATCCTCAGCTGTTCCGTCTGCGCCCTCAGTTCCTCTTCCTGTCTCTTCTCCTCGGCGCGTTTTGCCTCCGCCTCGACCGCTTCTTGTTGTCGCGCGGTCTCCTCTTGCTGTTTACGTATCGCCTCCTCCTGTTTGCGCAGGTTGTCCTCGTTTTTGCGAAGGGTCTCCTTCTGTCGACGAAGGGCTGCTTCCTGGGCGCGTTCCCGCTCCAGCTGCATCTTCTCCTCTTCGAGCTCGCGCAGCTTGTGCGCCAATTTCTCCCCCAAGTCACTGTTTTGTCATGAATTTCTCAATTACTCGACGCCAACGGCCTCTCTGTCTTCTTATTCTACAATATGCAGGCTACCATAGGAAAAACACGATCCGAGACACAGAGATAACGTAGTGATAGCGATAGCGATAGTTTGCGTATACAAGCGCCAGGAAAGGAGCATAAGTTTAAGGTAAAAGTATTTTTATTTTATTCATAACCGTTTGTACATTGATCCCGACATACAAAATTCATTATAACTTTTTTATATATACATACAAGAGACGCTTAGAGATACGTAATTTAGATGTATCGTTGGAACAATCGCGGGTGTCGGTTCCCTAAATTTCGAAGCTCCGACTACTCCCGAAACGACTCGTTCCTTTGTAAATAAAATTTTGTCAACTTTGCGCCGTCGAAATTTCGGAAGGGACACCATCGATTTTCGTCCAGTCGTACGAAATCATAACAAGTTCGTATAGGAGAAGTTAAAGAACACGCAAGCATATGTTACATAGTGGCGGTTCAAGGTAGAACGCCACAGAAATAAGAGCGTATCGAGAAAATACTACAAACACCTAGATACCGCATAAACGAGAAGCCAGAAAATAAAATTTAGAGAAAAGAAAAATTAACGTTACACCGATCCCCGAACAAATCGCAGAAGAATATTGTACAACCGGTCCAAAGAGAAGCTTATGTCATCGAACCAAATCGATAGGTGTGTGTGACTCTAACCCTCCGTCATTGAAACTGCCCCGAAGAATTCCTACCTGTTCATCTCGCAATTGTTGCCGTACCGCCACTGCTCCTCTTTCTCGAGGACCTCGATGATCTCCCGTTCTTTCTTCGTGATCTCGTCCTCTTCGGACGAGGTCACGCTGGCGCCGAACGGTTCGCTGCTTTGACGACTGTGCTGAGACATGTCAGGGCTGACCGGCTGCTTCGACCAGTCTTCTGCGTGGCCCAACTCGACACCAGAGTCCCTTTCGTGGCTGGAGTCCTGCTCGTAGTTGCTGTCCGTGTCGTACGACCGACGATGAAGCTGCTCGATGCGCCTTTCTTCCGCGAGGATCATCGCCATGTCTGGCGGCTTCGTCAGCGTCAGTTCGCGTTCCAGGTCGTCGTCGTTTATCTGTGTGGTTATGGAAGGAACAGATATTAACATAATATCCTTGCATTCAATTTGAGTGTGCTAGGTAGCTAGCTGGCAAGGAGTGAGCTATGTAGCTAGCTTGCAAGGAGTGAGCTAGGTAGCTACCATGCAAGGAGTGAGCTCGGTAGCTATCTAGCAAGGAGTAGGCTAGGTAGCTAGGTAGCAAGGAGTGTGTAAGGTAGCTAGCTGGCAAGGAGTGTGCTAGGTAGCTAGCTGGCATGGAGTGAGCTATGTAGGTAGCTTGCAAGGAGTGAGCTAGGTAGCTGGCTAGCAAGGAGTGAGCTAGGTAGCTAGATAGGAAGGAGTGAGATAGGTAGCTAGCTAGCAAAGAGTGAGTTAGGTAGCTAGATAGCAAGGAGTGTGCTAGGTAGCTAGCTTGCAAGGAGAGAGCTAGGTAGCTAGCTTGCAAGGAATGGAAGGATAATTAAATTCAAATTCAGAGTGGAGATTAAGGAGACTCGAATAACGTATGTCAATAACCAAGTATAGTGGTGGTTCTTAAAATGAACTCCCAGATGTGATTCGTAAATTGAACATTACTATCTCTCCCAACTTGGGAGACCCTCCTTGGAGCCTAGTAAAGATTCGTCAGCTTATTTACTTTAGAAAGATATTCATAAAAGTGTGCTATTTGCCACATGAAATTATTTAACAGTTTAATAATATAATAGTATATGATGAATGGGTACAAATGCATTCAATTTTGAGTAAATTAAAATAAATAATTATTATAAAGTTATTTCAATGTTATATAATTTATAAATTTTTATTAATTTTTATGGTTTTGAGGTTTTGTTAACATTTGTATTAAATTGGTGATTTCAAATGAACAGAACAGACAAAGAATCATACAGATTCGAAAAATTAACATACCTACCCCGAATCGATGTTCATTTTACGAATCATTACTGTACCCTTCCCCATATTATGTTCGAAGCTATTTGGTATTCTTGTTGAAACATCACCAAATCAATCCAGATTTTTTGGGACCACTGAATTACGTTTTTGAAGTAAGAATTTATAGAAAAATATTTAAATACACTTCGAAGATGTTTTATAAGTTGTAATTAGATGTATTATAAATTATACTGAATATGAAATTTTTGAAACAACTTATTTATTTACATGGAGGAGGGGGTAGTTTTTATATTTTATAAATTTCTCTCATCATTTTAACATGTATCGCAGGATCCTACTTTTTATTAATGCTTTTAGAAAATTCGTCTAAAACTACCACGAATTTTGCAACGAATTCGAATTATTCCGTGAATTTTTCATGTGAATTTCGTTGTCGCACTCCGACGTACATAATTGCTATTGTCCGTTACGTAAATCCATTCACGTGCTCCAATTAATATCATTAAACGATGTTACGTAGACGATACGATCTTTTGCAACGCTAAACGCGGGTGTATCAACAGCCGCGGAACACATTAGCTCCCGGAAGCAAGTGAAAGCCGTCGAAGAGGTGGAAACGCGTGAGAAGAAACGAAAGTATGAGAGAAAAAGTATCGAGTTTTGCAAGTAAAAAAAACTTCGAACGTCGCATGCATTCTATCGCTCGAACGTTTCAATGCACCGGAACCCGAGAAATATTTCATACTCCGTGACGTACAGATTGCGTCATAATATGCTGGAGCCACATCGATGATGAATTAAGGACGCAAAAACGACGAACAAAGTTCGTACGAACATGTATGCTCCATTTTTAAAATACATTACTCCAGTGTCTGTCTACAATGTTACCTTTGTTTACACTTTCCAAAGAAATTAATGGACAGATCATTTCAGTATTCATAGGTCATCAGATTTGTAAAAGGACGTAATTTTTGACATTTAATAAAATAACACTTTTGGAAAGAGTTGGAAACTTTAAATCACAATATATCCTGTATATTTATATTTTCATCGCGTTTGTGTCTTCACGATACACTTATTATTACACTACGGATCTTTATATTTATTTGTTTATTAATAGAATTAATGGGAGCTTTGTTGTCTCAACCCCTAAGTATAATAATTCGTATCTAACTTCAAGTATTTTTTATATTCTTGCATATTAAATGCATTCTGTAGTTTCATGAGAATTAAAATGTCCTATAAATGCATGAACACCCGCAATCTACTTATTATATTTCAATTTTATTATTATTTATTACGTACCCCTTCGATTCCAAGAAAATCTGAGCGCCTCGTGCGTAGTTCCTTCTTTATTCTACGAGTGGAATTCAATCTCTTCAACGGTTCTATCGGAAGACTCTCTTCGTCGCTGACATCCACCGGTGGCGGGGGTGGCTTTTCCTTCGGTGGTTCCACGCTGGTTGGTGGTCCCAGAGGAAACGCTAGCCCCGTGACTATCTCCTCGTCGCTGGATAAATTTAACGGCAAAATCTGTTACAGAAAAGAAACGATTCATTAATCTATAGTAATATTCGAAAGTTAAACAAATTATACGAATAACAATAATTGTAGGAACGATAATTTAGTCATACGAGGTGAAAAATTTGATCTATTGTCAACCTTCGAACCAATTGCGCACAGTAACACTAGTTAGAAGTACGAGATCACTTTTTATAAGAGACGTAATTGAATTACGCCCGTGAGAATCTGCCTGTATCTGCGTTAAAAGTGACAAAATATTGTTATTATTTGCCAGTTTTACGTATCAAAGTATAGAGACGAATTGTTATTCCTAATATTTGTGTTGTTATTTCAAATTCGTTATATTTTATAAACAGATTTTAGTAAGAAATTTCAGTCATCAACGTTTGTCTGTTTAATTTTGAATATTCGCGTAAATTTCCATTTTCCACATAGCTTTCGATAATTATTTCGTTGGTTTAAAGTGAAAGGGTGCCACAAACATAGAAAACGTAAATCATTTTTCCTCCAGCCTTAATAAATCTTCGTAGAACAATGCTTTTCGCTTTCACTAGTCGAAGTTCCCAAAGGAAGATGAATTTCACACAAGATCCGCGTCAATACTTCAAGAGCTGATTTCACACGGGTTGTGCGCATCAAGCCTGGTGCAGAACTATCTTAAAATGTTAATCGAGTTTGTTTCTTTACAAATATCACGGAAACGCTGTTCTCACTCTAATTACGATTGTAATATTACGTCACTGAAGCATAGAGTGGAAAAGTATAAAACAATTAGCAGAGTGACTGACGTTTTTTTTTTAACCTTCTACAAATTATATTTGATTTCTAAAAGAAAATTTAATTAACATCGATAGACACTAATAATGGGATATAAATTGAAATGTTAATTTCAATGGATGCAAACTTTCACTTGCACTTCCGGTGCCGGAATTTGTAAAATACTTGTTGCAAGCAAATTGTAATGCTGTTTTAAAACCGCAATTGTTACATATTGATAATGGGATTAAATCAGGCTTGAAAAATGCAGATAGTGGGTATGTGATTTCAGAGTCACGCGGGGTTATGGAGAGCTAACTTATGAAATATGATAAAATGTATCAGTGTAATTGGTGCTGGCATGCTGCGATTATAATGTTGATACAAGATTAACCTTCTATAAGCAGACTGTAATTTTCAACCTTGTTTGAACACTCTAGATCCTTTAGAACCATTTGGAATCTTGTTTTTAAGTCGATGCAATGTTTGAATTCTTATACAAGATTCCTGAAATTCAACAAATAGAATTTTTAATCTACCCCAAGTCTTGAATTATCAGATCTTTGAGACTATAAGTCCTTGAGTTCTATGAGAGATTCAATAATATCAAATCACCAACTAATGTAGGCCTAATCGTTCGAGGATTTTTATTATTTTTATTCATTTTTTGTTTACAAGGTTCCTGAGATTTGATAAATAGAATCTTTAGTCTTGAGCTATTAGATCTTTGAAATTATAAATTGTTGAGTTTTCTGAGAGATTCAATAATGCCAAATCACCAACTAATGTAGGCCTAATCGGTCGAGGATTTTTTGTTACTTTTATTAATTTTTTTTCTACGAGATTCCAGAGATTTAACAAACAGAATGTTTAGTCTACCCCAAGTCTTGAGTTATCAGATCTTTGAGACTATAAATCCTAGAGTTCTCTGAGAGATTCAATAATGCCAAATCGTTCGAGGAACTAGTTTGCAAACTATTAAAACGAAAGAAACTCCTATACGAAACTTCTACTTTCAAATCTCTCGTACGCAACAAATGAAGTTGCTCCAATAGCATTGCTACTGCAACTGAAGTTTAGACTTCTGCAAAGTCAAGTACATTAAATCATTTATACACAGCTATGACTTCACACTTTATACTATCAATCAGTAACAAATATCACGAATAAATAAAAAAATGACCCATTGACATTTACCATTCAATTCTCGAAACATATATGAGTGGATTCGTACTTCCGAACATTTCTGTCATCGTTTAAAGAATATTGACTGTACCAGATCGCGGCGTGCAATTTTTTATAGCAAATTTCAAGGCTCTACGAAACGAAAATCGAGTAGAAAAAGGAATATAGAGCCTATGTAGTCGCTTTGGTGATACCGATTCCATGGATTTGAGGATTACCTGTTTCGAGATGGGCGACATCGGGCTGAGGAGTCCGATCGTGTCCATCATGCCGATTTCTTGGTTGGCGAGGGTCAAGGTCGTCGGTCTTTCAGGCGCAGGGACGTTCGTGGACGCGATGGTCTCAGGTGCATCGTGCTCGTCGATCGATTCCTCGATCGACATTCGCGACGGTTGCTCGGGAGCCTCGATCTTCCCGTTCATCTGCGCTTCCTTTTCCTCGTGCTCTTCGTGTTCGACTGGCGGGCTCGGCTGGCAAATCGCCGCTGCCTCCTCTTCGTCCGCTTTCTCGATAACGATCGGTTCCTGAAGAGACGCGCTGCGTTATTGCTTCTGCCGTACGGAACTGGGCTTGCGGCTAGCACCGCCACGAATTTTGCAACGCCACATTCTATGCAAATCGACACTGGCGTGGCTTTGCCAGCGTAGCAGGGTTTCTCAAACTTTGCCCGCGTTCGGTCGTGTTCTTCAGCGACTTTAACGCGAGTTCCCGATCACGTTTCTGGGGCATGCAATTAACCCTAGATCACCAACATGGGCGTATCGGATCCAACGATCGTATTCGCGTGCTATAACGCGTTGATTGCCAGACGAAAACTATTTAAAAAATTTTCTACGAGACCAAATAATTTGATTTTAAACTAACGTAAATTATATTAATTAAAATTTGTTTCGACGGTTTAGCTTGAGAATTAATTGTTTTAGTTTCAAAGTGAAAAGCCTTGTCGCCCATGGCAGTCAATGTGTTAGCGTTTCTTTTGTGTTTTGATCATTGTCATTTTTGCAATGGATTCTGTACATGAGAACAATTTAAAGAGTTCGTATAAACGTATGTTCTATTTTATCTTGTTTTTGAGTTACGAGTTCTATATTGAGAATAATTCTTTTCGAAAATGAGCTAACAGAGCTCGGTATCTGATGTTGGATCTTGTATTTTAATTCTGCGAATGCTTGCTCTTACTATTTTATCTATGAGTCAGAACACTAGGTGTCAGATTCTATTCTCTAATCAGTAAATGGTAAATACGAACCTAATATATGGATTTACCATGTATAAACAATACTTGGACGAATAGAGAGGGTAAAAGACAGCCAATTATAAGAGGTTTCCAAGCTCTATTTTGCTATAACTCGAAAAAAAGTCAAGTAGAACACATGTTCATATGAACTTTCCTTGTTTTCTTATGTAAAATTTCTCACATGCTATGAAACATCCCGTATTTATAATTTATACATTCAAAGGAAGAAAACTAGTCCTGCTAAATTGAAATCCGTGATGTTTTACGAAAGTTGCAATGAATTTGTTCACGTTGGAGTTTATGCAATTTTTTTCGTGTTGGTATTCTAGAGTTAGGAGTGGTATTCTGGTCTACAAAGATCGAACCATTGATTTCTTGGTTCTTGCATTTTTGTAAAATTTACAATTTGTACAGATTTGAAGAAAACAGTCAAATATGCCTGTACGTTATTTCTTTTTGTAGGGACGGCACATTCGTCACGATTGAAATAAGATATGAATTTGTTTTCATTACTCTTTTAAAACGAGACTTACACGAGTTATAGTAAATTTTTAAGTTCTCGATTACAGACCATAGCAAACATTTGTGCTGATTGATAAAGTGTTAGCAAACATCTGTACAAAATAATGATGTTGTAGATGTACTAGTTTCTTCGAAATAAATTTCCAAAATTGATTTTTCAAACCAGAATATCCCCATAAGTGGAAAAGCAATTGAATGCCTCATTGTAGAGTTGTTTGCTGTTTGAGGGAATATGCACAAGTAGAATGACGTAATTTAAGTGCAACTCTAGAACTAGAGTTTTCTTTTATTTAAAAGGAATTAATTAATTAATATTAAATATTTAATATTTTGAATAAGATGAAATCATTTCATCGTGATGTATTGTTTTTCTTTGATCCACTTCTAAAGTTGCAACAATTACATCATTCTATTCATATGAATGCTCTTAAGCCCTTGTAGCATGAGAATTTCGGTTCTTTTTTGAGGACCTTTCATGCATAGGGAGAGTGAAAAACAAAACGAATTTTCCAAAGAAGAAAAGCAGTGGATAAGCAAATATGACCACTACAAAAATGTAGAAATCTTGCAAGGTGGTGAAACAAATGGTCACCAATGTGGTCACCTGTGCTTGGATGGATATTTTTTAAATGATCACTCGAGTTAGCCATCGTGCTGTAAGGGTTAACCCTGCTGTTTCTCTAAATGCCATATTTGTACGTCTTCCATATGTCTTGCTTAAATTAAAAACAAAATATTTGTTACATAATGCAAAATACTCAAAGAATAATATCATCAAAATCACAAAGCATGAAAAACAAATATTAGAAAACACAACACCTATGAAAGTTTAAATTTCTGTTTGAGGGGAACAGCAGGGTTAAAGAAGACATCCAGAGCGTAGGATAGACAAAATTAAAAGAAATTGTTTACATCATTTTGAATGTCAACTATTTAAAAATATGTTCCTGAATGCAAAAGAATATCAGTGCTGTAATATTTTGTGGAAATTATATTTAGTAGTAAAATTTCCAAAATTAATTATAGTGAATAGATAAGTTTTCAAACTATAAAGTATATAAAATTCAACTAAAGTAGTAGAAATATTTAATAAATAGTATTTCTCCTTTATCTTATGCAATTTGTTTAATTGTCTTAATAAAATGAGATTAAATTTAAAATTCTACTGCATTGGCCCTATGAAAGTACAACAAGCCACTGAAGTAGATACTTTTGCAAAAACTAAAAATCTTTTAACCCTTATAACTGATCAAAATTATTCATTAATGTAGAAACCTGACACATTTTCGTAAACAGCTATTATCTATGATTTCTGATAAGATGATATCAGAAAAGATAATTATAGTACAATGAAGCTTGAGAAACGCTGAATTTCGAGCAACTTGAAAGGCATTTTGCATTCTACGAGCATTCTTCCGATTGTCTATTGTGTTTTTTCATGTTCACCGTGTTTTCGATAGACATCGATGCACCAGCGTTCTATGCATGGCTACTGTCGCAAGCTGGTTTGCAAAATCCGTGCAGAAAGTTAGTCTGCAAGTGCCAAGAACTCGAAAAGTAAATACAAAAAGTTTCAGTACCGTTGCAAAAAATGTTGCAAAACAAGGCAAATTAAAACTCGTTAATAACGTATAAGGTTTCGAGTGTATGTACATAAGGTATTTAAATTTAAAAAGCAAACCAAACGATAAATCTTATGGTTTGGAAAAACGAAGATGAATAATTAGATTATTTTAATACGTGGTAAGTACTATAAGGGTGTAAGTGAAGAAAGTTAATATAAACACGTGCTCGATGTAATCTTGCTTCCGAGGAACAGCCTGTTCTAGATTTTAATAATTCCTTTCGCAAATAGAGATGACACAGTTAGATATTTTCTAAACGCTCGAAGGCTCGAGATCGATGTTACTTTTATTTTCAAAATTATTAATTGCCACGTTAATCATTCTCACACCTGTTCTAGGCCACGCAATAGTTCATTGTCCGTCATATTTTTAAAACTAATTCAATTACTCAAATTGAAATATTCTTATAGTAATATTTTGTATGAAAATAATCCTGTCGTTTAATTTCTCTCATACATTAATATTTTCTGCCTTTTTCAAAAATTTGCTAATGCTTAAATCAGGACTTTGCTATTATTACTGTAGTTTAAAGTGAAAGTCACGTTTAAAGAATCTATAAAATAGGATTCTTTAAACGTTTTCGAGAATCAATAACAAAAAATTTTCAAGTTTATTTTTTAATATCGATCGTTTCAAGCAGTTTTCTGGTGGATGAAACGCAAGAACGTGTGTTGAGTCACGTATATTGTTTATTGTTTACGACCCCTAGAGTACCTATCGTGTTTTAGTTAACGAGTAAATCATAGTCAAGCTACCATTGGTCGAACTGGTTCACTTTTAGTCACAAAATAAGAGCATGCACCGGCGGAAGGAAGCACTCGCTCTCCATGCAGATCACTGTTTCGTAAGTTTTCGCACAAGTCTGATGTCATGTGCTGTTTACCGTGGACTGACGAAGTGCGAGCAAACAGAGACAAGACCTTTCGGCAATAATGATAACGTTTATCTAGATCCAACGGGGCAGGTGGGGGGACGGGGTGGGCGGTACTGAATTCGCTATTTTCACCGACTGCTCCTGATTCGCTTCGCGTACCTCGAAGATGTATCTAACCGTGAGAGATCACGCCGTCGATAATTTCGCGATCGATTTCTCACGTTTGAAGCGTGGAAGAAGCAGAACGCTCGCTCCAAGTCATGTTTCAATAGACCGTCTCTCGATAACGATGACAATTTGTTTTTCGAGACAACACACGTGAAAATGTTTCAAAATGTTGCGATCTCGAAGTTGAACATTTTTGCAAAAATTGATAGAGAAATTATAATTTTTGGCAATCGTGTCTCGCGAGAGAGATATTCATGCGAAAATACTCTCTTGCGAGAAAGAACTCGAAAGTGGAAGAGGAAAGCGAACTTTCGATATTCGAAAGCAAACGCGTTTAAGTACAATTTGAAATCGATTCGGATGATTATTAATGCCGATTTCTAAAAAGAAGACGTTCTAAGAAGAGTACCAAGTTCTACGAAAAGTTTCACTGGTACGCAGAATTGAACGTTTGGACACTTGGAAGTTATGGCATAAAATTCGATGTGAAAATTCTTTGCGAAAGTTCCAGAAAATTGGGTATTTTTTTTGTTGTAATTTTTAAGTTCGTTTAAATACATGTGAATTGTATTGTTTTACAAGTGCAATTAATCACTACGAAATTGATTTTGTGAACGTTTTTAAGACTGTTTTAATGTAAAACAAAAGACTATAATAAATCAAAAAAACATATGTACCATAAGTTTAATCTAATCTCGAGGTGAGATTGCTAAACAAAAATTTTTCCCCACCATATTTCTTCTATTTTATTTTTATTTTCAAGTATTAAAAAAAAGAACTGAAAATTTAAAAAATGTGACAAATTACGAGAAAATTTGATATCTTCGAACAAAAAATAATTTCCCTTATTAGATAACAGAGTATAACTTCTAATCGTTATTTTCTTTTAAATAATTTCACATTTGAGTAAATTTCCCTCATCACGTCAGGCAATGTAAATTTGAATGAGTTGCAGAAGTCCACAATCGATAAAATTAATTCCTCGATTGATTTTCTCTTGCGCAATATTTGCAAAGCCAACGAGGCAAATATAATTTAACGAATGTAAACATATCGCCTGACGATTCTCGTAATTAATTTCACAATCGTTTAAAAGCAACGCAGAAGTTAGGAATCTATTCAGATGACATTGAAACCGATGCTTTTACGAAGTTTTTTATCGCGAGAAACTACATCTGCCTCCATTTGGAATATTTCCAGACAGATAAATATTCCATTTGGCGAAATATAGATATTATATCGAGCACGAAAACCATCGAACGTAGCGATACGATAAATTTTAGCATAAATATCCTTCAATATTTGTCGCTAAAATTTATCTATTATTTCAGCGATTCATTGTTACAAAAAAAAAAATATAATTAAAACAGTTGAAAAGAAAAAAATAAAACATTTGTAACTTTCAAAGTCCAACTAAAGTCTCGCGAGTTCTCGATGATAATTGTTGATTATTTCTTTAAAAATAGCTTCCACGTGCTATTTTAAAATACACATACTTTGCAGAAGTTCAAGGTACACGATTATATTTTTGATAAAATTCATCTCGACAAGCAGTCTGCAATTTTTCACGAGTGCACAATTTGTTTGGTAAACAACAGTGGATATTAATTACAATGTGCGGAAATAATCAAGTAGCTGGTGAAATATCCAAACGATCGTGCCAACGTGTAAATCACATCAATTCTACGTAGCCAGGTGTTTGAATTTTAAACGAAAAATGTGTGTAGAAGGTTCGAAAAAATATTGAAAAATACAAAGTTTGTGCGTTCGTACGAAGACGAAAATCGGCGTAAAACTAGGGTATCGATGGAATCAATTAAGCTGGTGTCATGCATGAAACAAAATCCTAGGTCGAAAAGCAAAATACCGCTATAGACAAGCGGGGAACTAATGTGATCAATCGCAAGGTGGAAAAACAAATGGCTGGGGATTATCGAGCTATTGAAAGCGCCATCTTACCTCGTCGGTGTAGTAGAGCTTAGATTTTCAATTTCAAGTAGCAGAGCAAGATGACAATTGTTGACGCCGCTACGACAAACAAGCTAGTAAAATAGAACAAGTGGCTACCATTGTCTCGACGAGGAATCAATCATTACTGACGGAAATGGAACTCATTTTTCTTCCACTGGCGCTACTCGACGTACTCGTAAGTTTCAATACAATTTTTAAACAAAAAAGGGGAGATTATTTTACTGTACGAAGCGAAGGGAACGTATTATTGGTCAGACAGGTTACTTTCTAATCGCAAAAGGCCAACAACATTTCTATTTTAATTATACTCCTTGGTTAATAATTCAGTATGTAAATTATTAATGGGTTTTTGACACTCGATCGACAAACTATTTCAACCATCACCAGTTTTCGGACAAGTTAAACGATTCTTACCTCCTCGATGCGCCGATCATGCGTCAGGGGAACGAACAAGACCGCTCGAGACAACCAAACGATTAATCGCGACAATTCAGGACATGTTTATCGTGACCGGTCAGATACGAGTTCTTTGGTAATAATTAAATGTCAGGCTCACCGACCTCCGATCCACGGGTCACGGGGACGACACTTTGGACGCGTTTGCCCGCTGGAATGCGACTGCACATTGCAACTCGACTCGTTGTCCAACGATGACATGTATCGTGCAAACGATGAAACGATTCTCGATGCCGATTGCAATATTTGCGCTTCCAAGAATCGATCAAACTGTCTCTTTTTCGTCGAAGGACATTATTCACTCTATAGGAGCTACCCAAGCACTTTTTTCTAAATTTTGTACAGAGACAGTAGAAAAATATGATGCCAATTTTTCCCCCTGAAGAAGATAAACACGGAATGAAAGTGATAACTGTGCGAAGTAAAAAAGATTATCTTTTCGTGATTCATAGGTACACATTCGATAAATTAGTGGATTAGTTATTGTTTGATTCATTAAACTGGAAATGATAACACTTTTCTTTAAAAAATAAATACTTTTCTTTAAAAGGTATATTTGTTCGTACCATGGTATTTGTCAAAGATCTACAAGGTGTGGCACTCGAAGCAAACAATAGTGAAACCTATGTTATTTGTCATATTATTTTTTTCACGACTGACATTGAATGTCCTTGAAAAAAGATTATTGTATTTGTTTTAAATATCTGTATTGAAAGATACGTAGACAGAATACGCCAATTTCTCAACCTGGAAAGATTCTTTTTGTAGCATTAAAGGAAGCTCTGGTATCCATTTTACGTGCTCAAATTTCTTCAAACAACAGAGTCCGGGTAGCTCCGTATAGAAATGAAATCCTCGAAATTATCACGGTGGAAGACAAATCATTTGAACGCAATTTGGTAATTTATACTGTTTCCCCTTTATTTGTGATCAGACGTTTCGAATATATTCAGCAGATTTTCCCCTTCGTTTCGAATAATTCGGGACGACGAAGACAATGGTGATCGACGCGTTGATATTTGGACTCGATATAAAATTTTGGCAAGTCCGATTCGTTCGTACGATTTTAAATTCGCTCGAGAAGAGTGTCATACATGTGTCGGATATCGACGAATTGAAACTGGGATTTTTTAAAGCGCAAGTGAACAAGTGATCAACGAATTTTCCAATCTGTAACAAATGGCCAAAACTTTGGGACGCTTTCAGTTTCCAACGAACCCGATTCACTCGTGCTTGAAAATCCCTTTCTCGAGGAAACACGACACGACAAATTTCTCTGCCCACTGAATTTTCTATTTCATTAACCGCATACTACCGAGTACTACGATCGATCGTGATCCATGCATAAGTGTCGACGAGCCGCGTTAAGATCGATTACAAGTTAATCTAAAATGATGTCTTACGCTCGGAGTAATTCGGAGATGTTTATACGTAATAGTTCCCTGTCTAAGGGCATTTTCTTCGCTTTCGTGGCAGTTGTACGTACAATTAGGGAGGCGAGTGTTGGTCGACGAACACGCGAGCGACGAGATTTAGCATCACAAAGTCTTCTTACGATATATCAGTCAGCGATCGATCGCATTAGGCATCGTTTTAGGTCCGAGAACGTGTTCCCTGTTAGATTAGGCCACTAAGGTTCGCGTTAGTCACCGTGATTATCGACTTTGTTCGAACTGGTACGTCCTTCACCTCCGGCTAGTACGTGTTTCCGGCTACCTGATCTAATTCTACTCGATACTGGGGGTTATTATATACGTTTTGTTCCTGTGTCGTCTATTTACATCGTTAGCTATGAGTCTCACGCCTTCGTTTCCAGTGAGATTTGTGCGTAATGGCGGATAATAAATACGTGTGGAAGCGACAGGCGAAGACAGGTTACATTATCCGGGAGTCGTAAGTGGCAGGATTCAGTTTCAAAAATGATTTTACAGGATTATTCGCAACCGTCGGGAGCCGTTGCTCGCGGCTATGATCGATAGCTGAACGGTCGATGTACGGTGATTTAATTTTAAACAACACCTTCTTTGGGTCTAAGTGCCCCGTTATTGCGAATCCCTTTCTCTCATCGTCCACTCGCGATGCCGTAATTCCCACCACTTAGACGCCCGCTCTAAGCCCATCCTTATGTACAAGATCTAATGGAAGTCGGACTAGGTCCAACAAAAGGGCGAGAAATGACGCGCTACGCGAAGATAGCCAAAGACGAACGATCCTCGCGGTCTTAAGACTTTCTCAAAGGGCTGCTAGATTGTTGTTCGATCCTAACCTCGGTTGTTGAACTCTGCTTCGGATTCACGCGATCCACGGTGATGAACGGTGTCACTGGAGGTGTCGTAGGTGTCTTGCCCTGAGGTACCACCACCTTTTCGCAAATTTCCACCACCGTCCGGCGTCTTTCTGCAGCCAGTGTCTCTTCACCCACCGTCACCTGGTGTTTCGAGCTGAACGCGTGGGAGGGAACGTGCTTCGCGGAGGACACGGATGACGATTGTTCCGGGTTCGAGGAAGGTGACACGGGTATATGAACGCCCGATGGAATATTGGTTGGAACCGTACCGCTGGAACTGACGGGGACCGGTATTTCCGACGCTTTTGGAAATTGAGGGAACGACGTTTGACTGGTTGGACTCTTGGCGTTCGACGTTCTCGTCTTCAGGGACGGGGTTTTGGGCGAGGAAGGCGAGACAGGCGGGCTCAAGGAAGACGTGGAACTTGTCGGTGACGATTTCGAGCCAATCGTCTTGCGAGGAAGCGGGGTGGGAATTTTTGATGCTGTCCGCGGAGACGTGACTGGCGTGGTCTTTGTCGCTTCTTTCGAACTGTTCGAGGCTGAGGTAGAGTTGGACTCTAACTGAAGGGTTGTTGGAACTATCGCTGTCCTGGCGGGTGATACGGGACAACCGTCGATAACGGTAGAATCTAACGGTATCGAAGACTTTGGGTTCGTGACTTTTGCCGTGTCCTCTTTCGAGAGGCTTTGGCCCTGTTCGTCGCTAACGAAATTAGGATTCTGATCCTCTGTAAAACGTTTGGACCCTACGGTTGCTTCCTTGGTAGGTACGGAATCTGTTTTGGTCTCGGTGAGCTCTTTGGACACAGGTAACTTCGGTTTGGGAGGCGTTTCGGGAGGAGTTCGTCGCGGAGGTACTTTGGGACTTTGATAGACAATCGGGCGACACGTGGCAGGACAGGAACGATGTGTACTAGAGTTAGTAACCTCTATGTGTGCCTGTGATTGCGATTTGTTAGTCGACAGTTTCCCAGAAGTGTCAGCAGTACCCTAGAGAACCAAAGAGTTATAGATCGTATAACCTGACATCCCACAACCTAAGAACAATAGGTTTAGAATTGAAACCAGCAATTGTTAAATACGTAAGGTGCAGTCGTAAAGTAATAATTCGACCTGCCGTTTATTAGAATTTTCACTTGTAACCTATCAATTTTTATTCAAGGTATTATTCGATATACAGTAATGATTCTTAAAGTGAACATCGTCGCTGGTATCCCAGCTCGTGTCGTTTTTTAAGTGTCGTCACTCACGTACACTGGCTTCAAATGGGATCTCCCATTCTAAAAATCAGCTCGTGTCGTTTCTCAAACGTCATCTTTCACGCTGCATTGAGCTCTAAGGGAATTTCCTCAAGTTGGGAGGGATATAAACGTTCAATTTACGAATCATGTTTACTTCCAAATGTATTTCACATTTTGTTGGGCTCTAAGGGAGATCTCCCTGGGTGGGTGGTAAAAAAATGTTTAATTTACGAATCATTACTGTAGCTTCGAACCATGCGAACTATAAACAGAGACAATTGCTTGACGACTGTCCTTTGCAAAGTAACACACCCCGATACTCATAATATCAACAACCGTGTTCCTCAATTAATCATAAATGATAAAAGCTATTTTAAATTGCCTTCCCCGCAAACTTCCAAGCAATAAACAATATATACCCCATTTAATCGTCTCGCTTCGATATATGCCAGCCAAGTGAATGCGACGAATAAAAGTTTATCGGATAGAACTGTCATGCACATCGTCGTCACACCTTACCTTCTTTGTTACTACTGCTTCCTGTTGGCTGGCAGAAATCGTCGAGATCTCGTTCGCGGGCACAACGCTCTGTTCCGCGGTTTCCTTCGCCGTCTCGGCGTCACGATGTTCCTCCGGTTTCTCCTCGATGACCTCTTGCCTCTCGATGATTGTACCAACGTGCACTATGTCTTCGTCCACCGGTTCGTCGGCTTGGCTGACGGAACAGCTAACGTCGGCCGTGTGGATACCGGAATCCTCGCGATCCGTATCATTTAGGAGCTCAGCGGACGAGGATGAGGCTGGATAACGTCTACCATAATCCAGCTCCTCTAGGCTTTGCACTCTCTCGAAAGTGTCCGGGCCGCTCGAAGCGTCCGCATCCAGAGAGTCCAGGCTTCTGTGGAAGGCGGTCCTGGGCACGCGATACTCCGAATCTGGCGACGAGCTTCTCTCGCTGGGAGTGGAGGTGTCGATTCTGTTCTCCTGATCCCGGAAGCAGAGCGAGTGCTTGCCAACGAAGGATCTCTTGTCAGCTGATTCCTTGCTCCTAGCCGCGTCCAGGGCGCTCAGACGATCCTTTATCGTCCTGGCGGACAGTTCTCCGTTGTGTCGCGACTCGTGAGCGGTACCCGGCGCGGATGACTCGTCGCTGCTACTGTACTTTTCTAAGGTGGACAGTCTTTGTCTGACCGGTCTGACCGTCTCCAATTCTTCCGTGCTCATCTTACGATGAGCCAAGCTCTTGCTCTCCCGCTCGGAAGCCTGTTTCTCCAGATGGGACAATCGTTCGCGGATCGAGCTCATGTCGCCCGACAGTCTGTTCATCGTTTTACCGGTCTTGTCGCCGTTGTCCGGCTCGTGCTTCTGCTTCTCCAGGTTCGAGAGTCTTTCCTTGATCGATTTCGTCCCGGCGAAATCGCCGGAGAGCCTGTTGTTCGTTTTGCTGTCGCTGTTCTTCTGCGACGCTTTCTCGAAGATCTCTCGTCTCTTCAGTATGTCCACCTTGACTATCGGCACGGTGGGCTTGCTGTCGTCGTTCAAACTCGTTTTCGACGCGTTCGTCGACGACTTAGCGTTCTCGAGCTTCGCGTCCAAACTGGCCAACGATCTTCTCGGTATGTTCTGCGACACTCTCGACACATAACTGCGAATCGCACCCTCGTAGGTGTACTCTTCCGGTTCCGGCGAGCTGGTCGTCGCCGTCGTCGCAGAATCGTACTCCTGGTTGTTGTGATTATGGTTGCTGTGGAACCCATTACCGAACGGTTTTTTCGTGATCGTTGTCGATGTTGCCATAATCGCCGCCGACGATGGCGTCACGTCGTTGCTGATCACGTTTTCACTTGGCACGGTGTCCAGGTCCGAGTGGTTCTTCTCTATCTCGCTGTCTCTGTCGCTCTGAAAAATATTTATAAACAACTTTCGTTCAGTAATATAGTTATTATTGACAGTGCAATATGTTTGGGGGTAATCTACAGGATTTAAGAAGACTATCTAAAACACTAGTTGGAAAGGATTAGTCGTTGCAAAAGAAAATTGTAAAGAATACTCTGCAAGTTTATTTGAAACATAAAACCACTTCTTGTCAAAATCACCCCTGGAGTATCAAACTAGAATTTAATTTTCGAGTTACTCGGTGAGAAAAAAAACTGCATTTTTGTCCAGGACTGGTTTCATCCCCTCATGTTTTATGTGATGTATGAACTTATACACAATTCCTTTGAATGTAATCAAATGCTTTTAAATTTTCTTTATTAATATTTTTCATAAGTGATTAACGTGTAGAGAAAACAGTGTCGAGAGAAAAGACATTTTTTAATTTGATTATCAGAGCAACGAATTTTAGTTTCCAGTTTAAGGAACCTATTTATTTTTTAACTGACGTACTTACTAGAAAAGGATATATAAAAATTAAACTGTAGTTACTAAATAACATTCAGAAAAACGTGTATTAAGTAGGGGGTTGGAAAAACTTTCACCATCGCTGTCTAATATATAAATGACCTATTTTATAATTTGATTAAGAAGAACTTAAAATTTGTCGAGTTCTACTAGATAGAACAAGCTTTTATTATATAGAACAGAATAAGGTTTCACTCATACAATAAATGAATATTCGTGAACAGAATGACAAGATCTACAAGTGTGGAAAGTTTCAATAAGATCGATGACCGAAAGGCCTTGCGTGGGCGTTAAGGGGTTAAGCAACGATGAGAAAATTTGGACGTAAAGTACGAGTTATCAAAGCAGGTGTTAATCTTACCAGGACACTGTGAGTGTCATCGTGAGTGTCGCCGCTAACCGAGCTCTTGCCGCTGCTGGTGCCTATACCAAGGTCGCTGAGGTCATTGGCATCTTCCTCATGGTACATGGCCAAGCTGATGCTTAGTTTGCGACCCCTATTGCCCCTCTCTTCCATCATTTCCGAGAAAGTCTTGCTTCGACGACGCTGCCGATCGTGTTCCTCCAGCTCGAGTTTCTTCACCTCGACCACCCGCTCGATGATGTGTTCCTGACGCTTCCTTCGACTGCTCTTCCAGTTGTCCAAATTCTACGAATATAGCAAAAGCAACCATTGAGTATATCGTGCAAAGCACATTTTACATAACACAATAACCCAGAAAGGGGAAAAGTTACGGAGGGTTTGCACCCCTCCTACTTGAAATTAATAATTTTATTTTTTTAATTTTTAGAGATGGGATTCTCGAACTCTCGAATTAGCCTCCGCGCCTCTTTTTAAAATTCGCCGTTGTTTTATCCTTTGTGAACAATATTTACGGGGCGGTAAAGCTCGAAAATATAAATTGCATTTTTCCAGGTCAGAAATAATTCTACTCAAAGTTTTGAACGCTAATTCTTCTTAATATAAATGTTCTCTTGTTTCTTCGTTACAATGCACATCTGTATTTCTCTTATACAGGGTGTTCGGCCACCCCTGGGAAAAATTTTAGTGGGAGATTCTAGAAATAAGACGAAAATCAAGAATATCAATTTGTTGATTGAAGCTTCGTTAAAAAGTTATTAAAAAGTTAAATTAAAAAATTTCAAATCGTTCTGGAAAAATTATTTTTAGATACAAGGGTCAATTACAATCATTTTTGGTGAATACACATACCCCCGAAATCCTATCCACTTTCGAGAAAAAAATTCAGTAAGTGGACAAATTTTTCGTCGAAATTAAAAAATTTCAAATCATTATAAAAAAATTATTTTCGGTTGCAGGGGTCAATTATAATCATTTTTTGTGAATACACATACCCCCGAAATCCTACGAACATTCGAGAAAAAAATTCCTTGACGAAAATATAATTTTAGGCCAGAAATGTCACCACGAAATTTCATGCGTATCTTTAAAACATTATAACTCCTGAACGGTTTGGACGATTTTAATGTTTCAAAATGCAAACTACGCGTATTTTGGTGCAGAATATGTAGACATTCCAAAAATATTCGAAAAGTTGATGCTTGACTCCGCAAAATGAGAGAAACCCCATAAAACTGCTACAATTTTCAAACAGCCATAACTCCTACAATAGTGAATAAATTAGAATGAAATTTTTTTCTGATCTAGTGCTCATGGATACCTATAAAAAAGTATTAAACAAAATTTCCGTAGGACGTCAAACAAATTTATTAAAAATGAAAAACGAATTTTTAAGGAAAATCGACAGGGGGCTGCTGAAATATTTCGACGAAAAAAAAAATTTCAATTTGTTTTGGAAAAATTATTTCCGGTTGTGGGGATCAATTACAATCATTTTTGGTGAATACGCATACCCCCAAAATCCTCCTCACTTTCGAGAAAAAAATTCTTTACCAAAAATATACTGTGTGGCCGGAAATGTTTCTGTAACTTTTTAACGAACCCTGTATAATATCTTGTAGTGGTTTCAATGACGTGTATAACGAATAGAAGTACTAATCAGAATAATTTACGGTATATAAATAAAAATATTATGTAGATGGTAGAAGACAGCATGCAATAGATTTTATAGGAGTGAACAGATTACTAATCTTACCGATTGCCAATCTTCCGGATCGTCGCGGACCTCTTGTTTTATTTTCTTCACTTCCTGGACCTTTTGCAACTGTTCCTGAGCTGTGCGATACAAGGAACATGGCCCAACTTTTACGAACTGAAGAGGATTGGTTGCTTGCTTAGGAGGTGTTTTCAAGGTGGTCTTTAATTTTGGCGGCTCGTGTGTGATCTGGAATTACAAGCAATTCGCAATTAATTTCGCGATTTCTTTTTGCAAATAAATACTTCCTATAAAATGCAATGACAATGCTTGGTCCATTTCTTAAATTTTTCATGCTAAGACTACAATTACCGAACAAATTAAAGTTCATCGGACCCATTAAGCTTTTAATAATGGTTTTTAATAATTATTAAATAATAATTTAAATTGTGTCTCCAACAAAATCAAAGATAGATTAATAAACTCATATTGTGTGGAACTAATAATGAAACTATGTAAATATGTTGTTTCTTTCTATCGTTGAATGAGCATCGAATATCTAAATTAGATTAGTCACGATCGATTATTAAATATTCTCCACCTTTGGTTTTATAATAGAATTTGATATTCGCTGTCAAAGGGTTGAAGAATTACTCGAGTGAAGACGTAAAAAGTATGGAATCGAAGACAATACTGTTCTTATTTCTTTGTTAAGAGAACTCTACTCGACGGTCTCTTGGGATCAGCCTGCGTCGACAATTTCTTCGTTAAGAGGGTGTAGTCCTCGCAGAATATAATGGTGTGCCCATCGTTTCGATGACCACTTCAGAAAGAATAGGTCAAATGAGGACATTGACTGGCGAAAGGGTTGGAAGTACCACTACGGTGTAAAGGTGTAAGTGGCAATATCACTTTTCACTTCCTCGACACAATTCTGTTTCATATTCTCCAACGTGAAGAGGAAAGGAAAATTGCAATTCGCTCCGTGCAAATATACTTGAGACACGTGCAGTTTGAAAATTTTAACAACGACAAATCTAAATCAAAACGTAAGGTACGCGAAGAACATTGCTGATTTATGTATTACAACTATAATAAAAATCTACTTCATATTAGACATTGATTACCGATAAACTTAACTCGTTGATTATTTAAAAAAATCATCACAAAAATCATAAGAACTACATTTGTGAAAATTACCGTAATTACTTATGGATTCTTTACTTATTAGTTTAAGAAAAAATGATACTTTTATTACGATTCATAAGAAAAAGTATCTATTCTATGCAAGACATTCTTGCTATACGTTTATGTAAATTATACGGTATAGAAAAAAATGTTTCAAATAAAAGTTGAACAGTATGAAGGAGGGTATATAGTACGGTAATTAATTTTTTGCTACTTTGCATTTTTATCGTAATAGGAACCCTCAGTTTTTAAAAATGAATTCATTAACGCTTTGTGTCCTGAATTTGGTTAAAGCATGAAATTTAGATTCTCAAATAAATTACCCTCTATTGTAAAACACGTTCAACGCGACTGTTAACACGACTTGCAAGACAACTTATTTTACGACGGCAGGTCATATTGGTGAACACAGTCCTTAAATGTTAGACATCGTCAACGCGAGATACCAACTAAGCTTGGAGAAGGTAGAAGTCGTACAGGATTGTTTCCTAATCGTTAGATCGTACATGGTAATAACATAGCATGGCTAACTCGTTCGCTGGATTTAACGCCACTTGCTTATTTTCTTTAGCGAGCATTAACAAAATATATACAGAGGAATGTATTATTAAATTTTGTTCCAAAACGAAACCTTTAAATTATTTCGTAAAAAATTAGAGATTATTTAATTTTGTCGCAAAGTATAACAACATTTAAAAAACTTTAGTTGGAAGGGGGGGGGGCGCAAATTAAAAATTTTTTATAAGAACTTATGTTATAGAAGCAAGGATTCGAATTAAAAATACGAGAGGACGTAAGCGATGAGGTGCAGAAAAACAGAGTGCACCGTGAAGAAACATAAAGACGAAGAAATAAGAAAATAATCAGTCTCTCGTTTAACGTCAATAGCCGAGCGAAGCCTGTGTTACGGCATCGTCAGCTAACCGGAAGCGGAACCACGCTTCTACGGTATTAACGCTTTTCAAAAGCGAATATCGTCGCGAATGGTTGCACGGTAGTTAACGACGATTGTCAAGCGAGTCCTCGGAAAATTGCATTCTTTTGTCCCTTTAACCCTTTCATGCGCTGCGAATCCGATAGAAGCGTTGCCAATGACGCCATTAGAATTCCTATCGTATAAATCGCCTATTCTTCCTACACTTAAATACATTTCATATCTCGAAATTTCCTTACCAAAGACCGTAGTCGCTAAAGAACGATTGCAAAATGAAGTTTCTTCGTCGACATTTTAGAATATTAATTCTATCTGTTGATTTAAAAATTTTAAATCAATTTACAATAGAAAAATGTATCCAGAACTAAATATTTCCAACCACAATATTTAATTAAAAATAAATTTCTTCTATTACTTAGCAATTTTTTTTACAAATATGTTAGATTTCAGAGATCTGGAAATAGAAATAGTGTAAGGAGGCATTCTATTGTAAATTTTCTAGAACTCCTTGTTTATTTCGTCTTTTTTTAGATCATGAAAATGATAAATATTAAAAAATCTAGAGCTCAATACATGACCATCGGTTAATTATACAGGGTGTTCGGCCACCCCTAGGAAAAATTTTAATGGGGGATTCTAGAAGCCAAAATAAGACGAAAATCAAGAATACCAATTTGTTGATGGAGGCTTCGTTAAAAAGTTATTAACATTTAAAGTTCCGCTCGTACTGAATTTTTTTCTCGAAAATACGCACGATTTCGGGGGTATGTCTATTCACCAAAAATGATTGTAATTGACTCCCTTAACCGAAAATAATTTTTCAAAAACGATTTGAAATTTTTTTTTCCGTCGAAAAATTTCACACCTTCTCGAATTTTTTTCTAGAAAATGGGTAGAATTTCGGGGGTATGACTAATGACCAAAAATGATTGTAATTGACCCTCACGACCGAAAATAATTTTTCTAGAACGATTTGAAATTTTTGAATTTAATTGTTAATAACTTTTTAACGACGCCTCCATCAACAAATTGGTATTCTTGATATTCGTATTATTTTGGCCTCTAGAATCCCCCACTAAAATTTTTTCCCAGGGGTGGTCGAACACCCTGTATATCAAAATTATAATGTCTCTGAAATAATTCAGGAATTAGAGAACAAAGACTAGAAAATAGATTTTCATCATGTACAAGAACTTTGTAATGCAAATTATGAAAATAAAATGAAGTTCTTACACTCTTCAGTAAGATTTATCGCAGATTTAATTGGAATTCCCATAGAGTGTCTTTTATGCCCTGATTGTCAATAGGCTATATTTTTATTAATAAAATGATTCCTTTCAACTACTGAAACTTCACTTTTACTTATTATTCGCCTTAGCATAATATAGTATGGTTAAAAGAACTATTTTCTTTTCTTGTGACTTTTTAATAATATGTGCTGGATTTGTTTTTTACAAACGACTATGAAGTTTCTATAAATATTTAATGAAATAAATACTATCCACCTCTCATTATAAATCTTCCACTAGTATCCAGAGACTCGTTTCGATCCCACAGAATAATAACACACGATATAAAAGAAAAAATATTACTCGCCCATTTATAGTCACCTTAATGAAATAAGGTGGGACGACGTACTATTCGATTTAAATATTGATGATGCGGTATCGTATCTATACGACTGGTTACACTCATTAATTGAATCTTACGTACTGACAGGCATCATTAATCACTCGTTGCTCTTTTTATTTATTTAACGACTTCTCGACAAATAAAAGCAAAGGGGCAAAATGTATACAAAAGAGGCGCATTAAACGGATTGAAAGGACGGGGCTCAGAAAATAAAATTGTTTTACAACCTAATCCAAATTCATTTCGTTCAATTTGGTTCACGAGCGCGTAATTTCGTAATTTAATTAAAAGAGAAAAAACGACGCCCACAATATATACGAACGAATCGCGCTGCACCGCGATTACCTTGCACTCTTACATTTGCGTAACGAGTGTAAATTACTGTCTGAACATTGCCATGCTAATTATGTTAACCGTTAGACGACCATTCGACTTTTTTCACCGGAAAGTACGTAATAGGATCAATGGCTGACTCCAGCAAGAAAAGTGGTGTGCTTTCTTGTCAGGAAATTGTAATATTAATTTATTTATTAGCAGGATCACGGATCAAGCAACGTCACTTATTAGAAAAGTATTGGCAATACTTTGGAATAAAAATATTTGTAAAAATAAAAGTATCTTAAAATATCAATGTGTAATGTTTGGCTGATGACCCTTGCTAGTCACATTTAAATTGTTTAAATAAGATAAGTGCAATTTTGTCACAGAGCAATTAAAGAATATTTAGTCTAATAAAAATTAGAATAAACGTTTCTTTATTTTAACTTTTTTCTTATTGCAGATGACACGTATATTAATTTATGTTTTTTGTTAATGCAATGTAAACCCTGATTTGATTGTGTTACTAAAAAGTAGTATATCGGAATAGTAAGAACCCATAATTCACAGTATATCAGAAAGTAACGGTCACTGGTTTCATTTACTAATATTTGAACAGGTGTATTCATCGCCAGGTGTACTAAATTTGATATACAAGACAGACTCAGTGAATCGAAAGTGATATATTAAAAAAATCTTGTGCCCTAACAGCGATGCATTCTCTCATATCACACATGTACACAAAAGTAACTCAACTTTTCATCCGGTAATGTTGAAAGTACCAATGTCCAACAATATTCTAATCTAATTGTACGCTAAAGTACCAAGCAGTGATTTTTTGGATCTTCAACAACAAAGTGTTAAAGTAGACACAAGGAAAAAGTCGGATAACAGTTGTCAAAGTTTCAAAGTTGAAAATCAGCGCGAAGAATTACGAGCACCACAGAAACGATTATTTTGCAAACATCCACGAAACAAGTATAATCGAGTGCACTCATCCATGATGAACTCGTTGTCTATTAAACCTATAGCTTCCTATCACTATATTTCCCTGAGCTCCGCAACGCTCCAAGATTCTGTTCGTTTATCAAGAAAATGGAACACAATTTCCTGAGGCATTCATGAAATACGGCACCCTTCAACGTCCCCGACTCTTATCTCTTCCTGTTAGAACCGTTCGAAGGCTTGGTTTACGATACAAACATCTGGAACGTATTATTCTCACGAAACATCTGGACGCACGGTATACGAAATCGATTAACTTTTAGTCGAGCATCTGTGTCACCAAGTGCCTGGCCTGCAGGATTGCGTTATTGTCGCCGAACGTTCCAAATAATTATATTTCGCTTCTCAATCTGGCCTCGATAGCGTTCGACGAGTCATAAATTCATGAACTGACACTTGAACCCTCTTTGGACTTCAGTCTAGCTGTACTCGACACAGAAATTAACGACAATTGCAAAGTGGAAGTGCCAGAGGGGCTGAGTGCCAAAGATAGATAGGATGCTGCCATAATTAGCTTTGATGATCCTGGCTAAGAGCAATGTATCGGTTAATTGAACAGAATATATTTTACTTGATATATTTGGTAATCTATTTTTTTGTGATAACCTTAGAATGGCACAGTGCACATGACACATATGTATTTTCTTTATATTGAAAACAAAAAGTTGGTACTGATAGACAATACAACTTGATTTACAAATCAATCAGCGTAGAAGCTTTTCCAGCTTTTCCTTCTTTTCCACGTTCATATTAGTACAGTAAAAAGAGAATATTCCGGACCTGGCTCTAACGGATTGGCTCGAAAAACAAAATGTTTTATCACATCAGCCTCTTGTCAAAGAAGTGGGAGAAGGTTATAGAAAATGAAAGAAAATATTTCGACCCAGTATCTTAGTTTCTTCGGATAAATGAATATTTTAGCAAAAGAAGACCCTCAAAATTAATTCTTAGGCCTAACGTTACCTTCATTGGTATTTTAAATGTAGCGAAAGTGTTGAATCTACTGTGCATCCGCGAGAAGGTGACTAGCAAAAGGAATGCGGGTCTGATTGGTGCCTAGATCCCCACTCTAGCGTAGAGTTTGTGGTTATTGGCTGAAACGAGAGTGGGGATGGGCGAGCCAAGCAACGAGCTAGCCAACTTCTCGCCTATGCACAGTAGATCACGTAAGTAATCAATGCTCGTGGAAGGTGTAAATATATTGTGTACTCGACGCGAGTTTACGGGTGCAAAATCCTCGACGCTCTTCAGCAATCATCGCTGATGCTTCCAGGGAGAACGAAAAATGCGGAAAGGACACTCACCATCCTCTCATTTCGCCGCTCCGTGGCGGCGGCTTGCGAGGCAGGCATCCTTCGTTCCTTCCTCCTTCTCTCTCTTCTTCGGGGGAGCTCCTCCTCTTCAGTGTAGAACGACTCCTCGCACGGTCGGGCCCATCCTACGCCTCGTCCCTGAAAACAACAGGAAATCTTATTAACTGACGAACTAACGGGAAACGGACGCTCTCTCGGTAGCAGAGACGCGTCGACGCGATTTTCTGAATCGTACACGCTGTACAAACGATAAAAACATCGATATAATAGCAAATAAAAATATATGACTCTTTGCATATTTCTATATTTTCTATATTTAATTCAAGACATTTAACCGTGTATGTATTTTTATGTTTACAAATTAAATTTTTTCACATAAAGCCTGTATAAAAAATGTCATATGTGTCTACTTTTTTATCATCTTTCTTCTAATATAATTCCTTCGAAGATAGCTGAAACTTAAATTATAATATCGTATCACTTAAGACTGAACTTGTGTCATACCTGAGGGGTTAAAAGAAGAAAATGTTTTATAGATACTACATGGTAGATGCCATCTAGAGAATTAATATACAAAATCTTGGAAGAAAATATCAATGCACAAGTTAGAGAAAAAATATACAAATGAACTGACTTTATTTGTCTATTAAAAGGAAAAACCTGCCATTCATTTATAATATTATTGCATTTATTTAAAAAGAAACGAAGTAACGAGTCTGAGGAATAATATCATATTTTAAATTTGTCATAGAAAAACATACTGCAGTAAAATTTGTAGAATAATAATGTAGCAAACTTTTTTGATCTTAGGTGAAATTTAAAGTTAAATAGAACAATTATATACGATAATTGCCATTCTTTTAGTTACATAATTTAGAAATACACTACGCTTGATCAAAATATATTCCCTTGCGCTGCTGCCTGACAATGAAATTGAAAAGATTTGAATAGACGAAGGAGAATGAGTCTGTTCAGAGGGAAGACAACAAGAGGAGTAATTAGGTGAAAAAAGCGAAGAAATTGCAGACTGTAGTCAAAACTCAGAAAAAGGATATATCGAGGCTGCGTAGACGAACAATAGAAATGAAAAGAAGACGTTTCACAATGGGAGGAATACTCGATACAAAAGCAACCCGTACAAAAGAGCAAAGGCATCGGAAGAGATAACGAGGAAGGTGGGGAACGAGAAGTCGCGGCAAGAAGGTGAACAAATAACAGTTATGGACTAAAAAGCGATATAAAAATCGATGAAGCAAGTATCGAATGCCGAGATCGTTAACAACATTCGTGGAAGACCGGTGCAAAAAGGCTGCATTAAACGATGGAAGCGCAAGAAATTGTATTGCAAGAGAAATGATAGCGCAAGTCTGGAAAACAGACGAGCGGAGAAGAGAATTAAATTACATAAAGTAACTTTGAAAAGTATTTAATGTTTCGACGAAGCTTGGTAGGAGATAACGTATAGGGGAACCGAGATCGAAACAGGGAAATGGGCCTCGTTACAGAACACTCGACTAGGAAAAAGAAAACGGTCGAGAAAAGGGAAGAGAAAAACGCGAAACCTGGGATTAAACTGGTTCGGACTCTCGACAGGCGTAAAACGATATCAAAGGTTCTCTCGGTCGTGGAAAATCGAGCAGCAGAACAGAATTTTATCGGAACGGCGAGGAAGTAGACTCTGGTCGACGTCATTAATGAACTGCTTAATTTGCGATGTTCTACGAAACGTTACGTTCGCCTGGTAATTAAGAGGACGATTGTAATAATGATTGACGTTGCGTCGATGGCGCGACAAGTCGTCGGAATTAATGCTCGAAAGACGATGATCAACGATTCGCGATAAATCAAGAAATATATTACGCTCTTTCATCTTTTTGACGAACCGAGAAACGATATCACGGTTTCTGCTACGTATCATAAATCGAGACCTGCGTCAATTAAATATTAACGATGACCGTTGCTTGGATTTTAGAGACGTTGACAAATTTATGAGATGGTGCAAGAAAATTCAGATATTTTCAATGATATAAATATAATCAGTCTTGGATATTTTAAATATTTTATTTCTTGTATATTTGTCCTTAGAGTCCCATAAGTTAGAAGCGTTTCTTTTACTTTTATTATAAAAACAATTGCATTTGGTATTGTTCAAAGAGAGGAGAGTTTAAATACATTTTTAAACTCCCTTAATGATGTAATAAATTTCAGTCTAGTAATAATTATCAATCATAATTAAAATATTACAGTGTTATGAGTTCGACAACAGCTGCGTTGCAGATAACAAAATTTTTGCGGCCACCGAAACTTTCGCACGACGATGTACATATGTACGTCTTCCGGTCCTCTTTTCGCTAGACTCTCACACATATCGTTCGACGAACAAATATTATTGCAGAGTGGCTATGTTTGCGCGATGCATCCGTTGCGAAGGTTCTATTTCGGACGCAACCTCAGCATTCGCGATCAGCTGAAAGCTTTTCAAGGCTGTTGATTTTGGAGCGTCGATGAAAAAATCGAGCGTAACGCCATTCTTCCACCAGGCGCGTAGAAGTTAAGAATACCGAAAAAAATGCGTGTCTAAACTAGCAACATATGGGCTTCTATACGTCAATTTCTAATTCAACAAACAGACAGGAACGTCTGTTAACGTAAACGTTTCAACGTGAAAGGGAAGTCGTTTAACTTTAGCGAAGAAGTGTTTGTGTTCTTTATTATACTTCACCGAATTAATTTCTTCGCGACGATAATCAGGAATAAAGAAAATTTAAATTAAAGCATAATAATGGATCATTTATTAATGTAAAACATAGTCATTTTTAATTTAATAGGCGTTAGTAGTAATGGAAAAAATTAATTTGAAAGAAAAGTGTTCGAATAATGCACAACGCGTTAATAATAAATCTCTGACAACCCAATCCTCACCTCAGCGAACGTAAAGTACAGCGAATAAAATTATTCATAAGATGATTAAACGCCATAATTAAACACCAGTGAGGTTTGTGCGTAAGCTACGAAGAAAAGTAGTCACGATGATTTTGTACAAATTTCTCCATACGCTTGCCTCCATATAATAAGGCAAATTGACTATTTATTAAGGAAAAGTGTTTACATAATGACCAACACGACACAGTACGCCTGCGGGAAAATTGCAAAAATGATTAATCTATAAATAGTAGTAGCCAGGAAATTAAAGAAATCTCTGAAGGATAGCATGGATAATCGATAATAGCTCTCAACCCGTATATCGCTAATCGTTGAGAACGAGAATATGCAAAATCATGTCTAACCGTCCACGAACTTATTTATTCACGTAGAGGAGTGGTCATTACGAAGGGGACGTCGTGGGAACAAAAAAATGACACCACACCCTTAATTGTTTCATTTCTTCAGGAATCACGTCAACGTTTCCGCCATAAATCTTTGTCTCCTTTCCATAGTCGTGTTTCCATTTGCATTTGTGTATATTGAATTTCTCCGCTGGACGATATTAGACAGTGACTCACAAGTTTGTTCTAATAGAACCTGAATATTCTCTCTATAAATATAGTCTATTTCCTAATTTAAAACATTTAGAATGGTATTTTTAAACCTTTCGAAATATATTTTACAGTTGTTTAATTTTAAGGCAAGAAGCATAAATTGTCGACGTTTGCAAATGAGTAACAACCATAGATTTATTATTCCACAATAAATCTTTATCTTTCTCCATAGTTATATTTTCATTTCCATCTGTGTACATTGAATTTCTCTACTGGATGATATCAGACAGTGATTCACAGATTTGTGTAAACAGAGCATAAATATTCTCCCATTTAAAACATACAATAGTCTATTTTTAAAGTTAAAACATTTAGAATGATATTTTTAATCCTTTCGAAATATATTTTACGGCTGTTTAGTTTTAAGGCAGGAAGCCTAAAATGTCGATGTTTGTAAAGGAACGCCAACCAAAGGTTTAGATCGAGTAATATTCGCGTGAGGAAGTCGTGAACGGAATACTAATGCACCGCCACTCGAGTGATTTCAATGCGTGGTTAACAGCGCGATCGCCAGGCTCGAAGCGTTAACGTCTTAAATAAATCTCGAACGATATTCTACCCGATTTAGATCCAACGTTTTAGTAACATAGTACAGTACAAACATCAGAAATAATTTTTGATTTTAATTTAGAATTAATATGTAATTGCTTATTTGTTAAATTTGTGTGAGACTTATTCTGAACGTTTAAAATATAGTTACCCGTGGTAGGTTTTAAATTAATGCAACTTTAGGCATAAAAAAAAGGAATTTATAAATAAATGACGGGGACTTCCAAACTCAGTCCTTTTATTCGCAAACTGATTTGTGATCGAGTTTCGTCTATTTATTTCGTTCCGAAAAATTTGCATCTCCTCCGCGAGATTTACAGTCATTGCATTATTCCAATGAACGCGTAACTCCATCGTCGGGCGATTTACTCTTCACGATTCAATGCATCCAATTCGTTGAATGCATGGATGATTCCGTTGACCGTAAAAGTTTCCCAGTATCGTGTGGCTACTGTACCATAAAACTCAATGTTAAACTTTGCATAAAATACATCCCTTTGTGTTCCACGATGAAAACGAGACGGCTTTAAAACGTCCCGGTGACAAAGATCCGGACATCAAAACGTTGCCTCGGTCACTTTTAGTACCATCAAAGAAATTTAAGGACGGGAGGGCAGCACTATAACATCAGACACGCATCAAAATTCTAAAAATACATTCACTCCTGTCATTTATGATTATATTTAAAGAGTGACAGATATTTATGATGAATATTTTTGTGACAACTGAAACGAACTAGCTTTAAAAATAGTAATTCGCTTATTCGAATAAATGGTCCCCTAATATTTTCAGTGGTGCAGTCTTGATTGCACTTCTTTTTAAACTACAGATCGAAACCAACAGAAGAACTGTTTTCACCATTTTATGTTTTCTTGTGCAGGTTCTAGATATGAATTTTTATCAATTTTAATGGCTTCAAGAGTACATATATTAAAATTGAAATAACCAAAAATTTAATACGTTAACCTGAGTGAAAGATACACAAAAAATGTCCTTTTTATTCCAATGGAGATTGTCTAAGTTTATTAAATTGTAGAGATCGTGTTGTAA